ATGTTTTACGAATGTTACTATAACGTTTACCAGAACATTATTTTAATGTTTTGTAAACATTATATTTCTGTTGTAATAACGCTGCATAAAAAATTTATTTATGTTGTACAAATGTTACTACAATGTTTACAGTAATGTTATGCTAATGTTTTTTGTACATTGTATTTACGTTGCAAAATTGTTTTCCAAGTGTTCAAATAACGTTTATCAAAACGTTATAAGAATGTTCTGCCAAACGTTCAAATAGCTTTATACAGGCGGACATTAAGAACATTCCTCGAACGTTTGGGACGAACATAAAAATAACATTATTCTAATGTTTTCGTGTTACCTGGGAATGTCCTTCTGTTTAGGGTGATGCCACCTTTTGTAGTACCCGATGCCGACAGCACGCGCTCACGGGGAAAATACAAAGGAAATCGACGAAAACAAAATATCGCCATAGCGCAGTCAGTGCCACAAACGCGTGCAGTGAGGGACACGCGCTTTCACGCGCTTCTAAACCAAAAAGAAAAATAAACGTATGGGACAAAATGGCGAGATGCCACCACCCTAAGCAAAGCGCATGCATGAAGGCACCCTAGCGCCACTAGCCGGGAGCACGCGCACTTTTTGCCGGCTGCCTTCGTATTGCGCGCGCTCTGAGTTAACAGGCATTATGTGCGTGATCGAAAGCGTCGCTGTGGTTGGCCTTCCACGATTGGCCGAATGCTAACTATGACGTCAGAAAAGGATTTCTCATCGACGGAAATAAGAGGAATGGAAGAACTTCAATTTCGACGGTGTTGGTAGTGCCGCTTTATGCCCGTGTCCCACTAGAGCGACATAGAGAAACAAAAGACAACGACAAGCCTCAAACCAGAGTCTTTCGCGATTTGAGAGGCTTTGTGGAATAAAGGAGGCTATGCTCAAACACGAGCATCATGCCCGCGAGTGTGGCTTTGGCAGGCTTGCAATCACTCGTGCTTACTTCACGAGCACTGAACGACTAAACGCCTGCCAAAGCTACCATCGCGAGCATGCTGCATGGGTTTGAGGTTTGTGGCTGTTTTTTGTCTCTGTCTGTCGCTTTAGTGGGACACGGGCATCAAAAGCGCAATGATTTCAAGCTTCCACCATGCTCCTTACAAACACTATCGAACTTGTTGTTCGCAAACTAACCATAGGAGGGCGCCACTAAAACATCTCGCCGCTAATATAGGAGGCTCTGGATCAACTAAAAGACCACAACACCAATCCTGAAAAAAATTTAAAAAAAGTGAAGACGAAGAATTTTCGCATGATCCCAATGACCAGCTAGTCATGGCCGTTCTGCAGTGCTCTATAAAAATGTGAATTGTGCTGTGCAACTCTACACCATGGAAGGAGAAGCTAAAACCGTTCGATTGGGCCCATTTTCTCCGTTGGTTTGGTAAGCACTCGATGTCATTCTTCACCTGCGTGTAAACACCAAGAATTTCCACCAAACGAGAACCCTGAGACACTAGGATTTTGAAGCAAAGTCTCCCAGTTGTCCGAGAAATTAATGTGTGTTACCATAAAGGAATCGTTAAAATATTACAGTGTGTTGGAACCAAAACGTCAGGTCAAAAGGAAACTGATTATTTATTTTTTTCTCTTCAAGATAACTAAATGGAGCGAAATGCGTCCACAGCTGCATAACTGCCGAAACGAACGTAATCGAAGTTATCATACGAGCTTCTTTGTGAATGAAACCATAACAAATGTAATTCTTTAAGCGGTACCGAATTCTTCGGAACCTTGCAGCAAACGCAAGAGCTGTATGTCAAAGCAAGTTTCATTCTCGAAATTCGCCAAGACGTTTCGCACTGCCTTGATTGTCAGTCACTCCCTAAGCATCGCTCACGCTTGCTAAAGGGGCGGTGCAATGAATTTTGTAAATCCAGTAAAGACAGCTTAGAATCAATTCTTGACGTTCATGGCATATATGAAACACGCGTTAGTTTTCCTTTCCACGCAATAACAGCATAAAAAAACCAGGAAAACGAGCAATGGTCATTCCTCAACCTGCAGCCAGAACAAGCGGTCGTCACGCGCATGGGGTTGGCAAAGTACAGGCAGTACCGGGCACGCGCTGCCGAGTTTCAGACATCGTTAGGTTGCCACAAGTCCGAATCGTGCTCACGCAGTGCGCGTGTGCAATCTATCAGTCGCGTTTCACCATCGTCATCATGCACGGAGTCATCCTGACGACTACATCAGCACTGTGACTGCCGTGACTAAGTCATCAAATTTTGCGATGGAGATTGAAATAAAAAATTGACATGGTGATCAATGGGATTCATCCGATGGAAGTGCCCGAGCATGCACGTCAGGGAATGGGTTCTTCCGGAGACGGCGAGGGCACAGCGGTAACTCAGCTCACTCGCCCTCCCGCGGTGCCTCCAGCTCTCTGGATCCGTCAGCACGCGTCACCCTCTTTCCCCACCTCGGTGGCGCGCTGTGCTGAGTCATCCCATCACTCTAAACACGATACCCCCTCTCTTCTCGCGACGGCATGCATGGTGCTGACAAACTGACTGACACCAGCTGGTTTTCTTCGAACCGAGCGTTATAATGCTCACGCATTAAAACTAACTTTTATCCTTGAAATTCTGCGCGAGTATAGACGCATCCCACTAGTGTCAGCAAGCTTGTAAATCGTAGTCATGTGCGAATAGTGGATTTCGAGTTCAAAACTAATATTAAATTTCACCATTTTTTTTTTTTTTTTTTTTTTTTTTTTTATAATTGAATATTGAATGGTTTTTTAAAGCCTTTTACTACTGTTGTACAATGCTTAAAACGAAAACCTAGCTAAACTCGTGAAGGTTGCCCCTATAAGCTTCCCCTTGTCCGTTTATAAGCTAATTTTAATCAAACTATATGGATTGTAACCGCAGAAAGTCTGATGCCTTGAGGTGGCAAATGAACGACGAATTTCGAAAATCCAGCCGACCGCCAGCCCTCTAGCGGACGAACGAAGAACCATGAGGAGCGGGGACGGCAGCGACGGCGGAGACGGTGGCAGGGACTGTCGGCCTTGGCTAGCCTCGGTGCCGTGGTGCTGCTATTACCCCATGGTTAAGGTCGGCGTGTTCATGCGTGAAGCAATTAATTTTAACGAAAAAATTGAGCGCGTTAAAATAGGAATTCTTGTGTCTTGCCTCGCAGCAGCGTTGCACGAAGGGACCGGGATGTCTAATTTCGTGAGGGACTTTTCGTATATCCCATACTCTGTGGATTTCCGGTCTTGTGGTGGCCAGCTGAATCTGTGCTCAACGTGACAGCAAAAGCTCCCACTAGTAGTGTAGAGCTCTAGCGTAAGGTCTAGGAAATTCTATTCTTGCCCTAAGTGAAAGAAAACTGGTCGCGCAAGCGTTTTAAAGTCGTTACAAGGAACATTACCATTTGCTCCAAGCACTTTTCTAAAGACAGAGTACGCGAACATGCATTCAGGTCATTATCAAGGCAAATAAAGAAACGTTCGAAGCATTTTAAGCGCGTCTGTGTTAGCCCTTCGTGACGAGAGCTTGGGACGGGCAATTTTGGCGAGGCGGGTCGCAACGTTGCAAATAACTCGGTACACCAATGTAGTATACGGTATATTTAGTTTTGATAGAGCAGTAAATGAAACCTCTAAATAAGCCGATGACGTTAATAGGCAGTTTTTGCATATAGCGTTGCCGCAGGCTATCGTGAGCACGGCAACGCTTCTGGCGCACGCTAAAATTATGCTTCAAAAGCGCAGCGCGAGCTTCCGGTTGCTATGTTGCACCATGCGGTAGCCTGCGGTCACGCTATCCTGAAACTTCACATTAGGGAGTTTTCGTAGATCGCTCCCGCTGTCCCGCAACGCGCTCCGCAACCCGCTACGAGATCCGGGTTTCTACAGTCAAGGCCATCGGCGCGCAGGGCCATCGGCGCGCAGGGCCATCGGCACGCAGGCGCGGTAGCGGCTTCTTCGTTGCGGAGGGCTTAGCGGAGGGGAGAGCGCGGTCTACGAAAACTCCCTATTAGTAACCATAGCGCAGTTTGATCACGTGTTGCAATACACTTAAACGGCGACGGTGAGCAGCGAGTTGTGAGCCTTTGACACGAATCAATGTTGTGAACGCTGATCTTCCGGAGCTTGACGGTCACCGTGGGCTGCTCACGTTTTGGAGCCCTAATGGCCAGGCAAAGCGCAACCACCACCGATATCTTCATCACCCTCAAAACTCTTTTGCCACAGTGACGTGGCCGGTGCCCAAAACGCACTCGCCCTCTACAAAGCTTCGCAAGTTGAGGTTTACGCAACTTTTAAATATCGACATGCTCGTTTTCCTAATGCACATCAACATCTCCGTCACCTGTAATATGCTCCTGCGAATATTCTTTCTTCAGTGTCGAATTTAAATAAACCAAAAAGAATCACGAATTATGAATGCAGGTTGTCAGGCATCTCTAACATATACTCTTGCATAACAGCCAGTTTAGTTTTGAAAAATTTACTTCAATGTAGATACCAACATTCACAAAGTTTCAGTTTCATTCTAAATACACCATGCGTGCGCGTGCACCATCCCGATTTGAAAGTGTGCTTTCATCCCAAGCACATAATTGCGATATTCATACTTTTCCAGGTGTTGATCGCGGCGGGTTACCCTGTTGAGTGCACTTCTTACCGAGCACCGGTGCACTGCAGAGAAGCAACACCCGCGGAGTTCGCTATCGCGGGTGTTGCTTCTCCGCAGTGCAACTGTGCTTGGCAAGAAACACGTACACTCAACGGGGCTAACCCACCGCGATCAACATCGAAAAATACAAATATTGCAGCTCATCTGGAAGCGAATATGGAATACCGTATTATTCGAAACTAATATTCGAAATTTCGAGAATTCGCACAACACTAGCAAATTTAGAAACATACCAATCCAATGTCGTTGCACGGCCCCTTTAACCGTACAAAACATTTTCTCGTTCTTTTCAGACAGTGCAGCTGTTAGGATGGCCAAGGAACAAGCTTTCGAAGCCAGGACAAAGAACTACATTGTCTTCATAGTAGTCATCGTCACGCTGTGCTTTCTAGTCAACTTCCCAATTTTACGCTGGTTGTATGGTGTCCGCACAAAGCACTGCTTGACACCCGCGTGTGAAAAACTGACGCGGGACATTCGTACATCCATGAGCCGAAGGTCACCTCCATGTCAGGACTTCTACAAATTCACGTGCGGGGGATGGGAAAAGTCCCATCCCGGCTTTCATGATCAGATGGAGTACGCTTACGGAAGTGTCGTCACTGAAATTACCAAAAATCTCAAGAAGGTAATGGTACCTCAAGCAAATCAAAGCGCAGTGGACAAAGCAGCTGCGGTTTTCCAGTCGTGTGTACATATGATCAACAGAGAGTCCTCCAACAGAGATGCGCTCTTGCGATTCATTGGAAGCATAGGCATCATTTGGCCGTCTGGAGGCACGGTGAATTCTCTCAAAGCTCTGGACGTGCTAGTACACCTGTCGCTATCGCTAGACATACATATCCTGGTTACCGTCGGTCTCTATGAAGCTCACACTGGAACATACAGCCTACGAATTTCGGTGCCTCAAAAGGTAGTGCACGAATACCTAAACGATGACAGAATGTCACAGGAACGGATTAAGGAGGTACTTACGCTCATATTCGGGCACAGTAACTTTGATGCCATGTTAAAAGTGATCACGATATTCGAGAAAAAAATCTCCAACACGCTGCACTCGGTGATCGCCGTTCGACGTTTCACGGACACCATACAGATCTTAAACATTGGGACATATACACCAAATCAACCCTCTTCTGAATGGATAAGTGCTATCAACAAGCAGCTGAGCATCAAAAAAGCCATTTCTAAAAGAACTAGAGTACGCGTGGACGACATCGCCTACTTGGAGGCCATATCCGAACTGATTGTGGAACTGGAGGACCAGACGCTTCTCTCGTGGTTTGTCGGCTGGCGCGTCGTCAAAGAGCTCGCCTCGGAAGCTTCATTTCAAGTGGGTGTTGCGCTGGCCGGTACCGACTACGTATTCAATGAGCAGCGCTGCTTCGCCACAGTGCGTGACAGTGTGCACTTCGCCCTGACTACACCGACCATCCTTTCCGCAAGTGAGGAAAGTACGAGGAGTTTCATCGCGAACACAGCCGTCGCAGTTCGACGTAGCTACATGGACAAGATTCGTCAAAACCACTGGATGGACTTTCCCACAAAATCGAGGGCGCTGCAGAAAGCGAGGTTTATGAAACTGCTCGACGGCTATCCAGCCTTCGCCGGATCTCCCAAACAACTGAACAATTTTTATTCGTATATTCCTGACATTACAGGAGACTACATGAGCAACATCTTGACGCTACGAAAAGCCAGGATGAATTTTCTGAAGGCCTACCTTCACACGAGGACATCTGAATCGGACCTGCATAAGTGGAACTTCCCGTTTGTGAGCCAAGACTCGCTGAAGTTCCATAATGACCTTAACCAGATCGTGGTACCTGTCGCTGCTGCCACGGAACCACTCTACCTCAAGCACTTTCCGACATCATGGAGTTTCGGTGGCCTGGGCACTGCCATCGCAGAGGAAATGTCTCACGCCTTCGATGTCATCGGCAAGAACTACGACGAGTCCGGGAGTCCCTCGGACTGGTGGTCGAACACGACTCTGTACAACAGCAACCAGAGGTCCCACTGTTACCTGAAAGACTTCGCGCTCTGGTCGCAGGGCGGCCAAGCGCTGTCCACAGTGGATCAATACCGTGCGCTGCTGGCGTCGATCGAGGGAGTGCGCCACGGATACCATGCGTACACTCTCTATTCTGCCAAGGACAGAAAACAATTACGAACCATCCCTTTCCTGGATTCTGAACAGATCTTCTTCCTCGGCTACTGCTACCGGTGGTGCTCCAGACGTGAGCCCAGGAACGTCATGAATCCTCACATGTGCAACTTTGCCCTGGCGTACACGAAAGAGTTCACGGACACCTTTAACTGCCAAAAAGGAGATCCGATGTATTTCAGACGAAAGTGCGATTAGTGGTCGCCCATACATACAGTAATCTGTAAATAACTTGATTCCCGAGTCCCGCGGTCGGGTTATGTTTTGGTAGGTGGATGTCTCGCCATCGGAATAAGTCGTTGAAAGCGAGAAAAAAGGCGACATGCCGTACATGCTGTAACTGTGTACATATTACTGTTTTTAATTAAAGACAGAACACGTCATCTACCTACGTGTCCAGTGTATGCCTTCTACTAGGAAATGTAACTGAAACTCTTGGGCAGGCACGGAGCCGGGGGGGGGGGGGGGGGGGAAGGGGGGGGGGCTATGGAGCCCGCCCCGCCCCGCCGCCCCCCCGAAACAAAATCCTGGCTACGTGCCTGATCTTGGGTATTATATCATTTTATAGGGCATGTTTCAAATCAGCAAGGCACACCAAAAACTTTTCTTTTTTGTATGTCAAAAGGGTGCCGACGTGCACACATCGCTACAGTCTTTCAGCACCCCTATTGTGAGTAATAAATGCTTTATAATTTCCAAGTAGGGAGCTGTCCCACCAAAAACCGTAATTTCATTGTAAAAAGGGTGCGATAAGGGTGCAGTGCAGGAAAGCGCGACAGCACATTCGCTTGAAACTTTTGCAGAGGTGGTTTTAGTAACTACGTATAATAAGTATCATTTGCACCAATGCCTTCCCTGGGAACATGCGAGTAGTATACCGGACACGAGCGTTTTGTCAGCCGAAAACCGCATTCCAGAAATGAACGGCGATCAAGCATATAGTGTCGTGTCGGGTGCTGTGTTCAAATTTATCACAAAAAAGAAAGGGGGGGGGGGGGGGGGGGGGCGCAGCGACGCATTTCAATTCCGAGGCTCTCGCTCCAATTGATGCCACCCCGTGCAACCGCCCAGGTCGACCTCGCCTACGGCCAGTACTGCCTGGGGAAATGAATGCGGTGGAAGTCACCAAAGACGCGATTGCGGTGTTATTGGTGCTTCGTGGTGTCCGTTTACTGCTCGTTTTGTAGGATGCGTGTATTGCATGTAAACTGGATTTGTATGCAGGCAGCGCAGTCCGAGGAAAAGCTGCCTACACCAGCACGTGCGACCCATCCGCGTCAAATACACGTAATTTTTCTTTTCTTTTGCCGGACGTGACATTTGCGGCCGTATCCGGTCAATTCCCAATGCTTTGTAGCACGTGCAAAATTTTAAGAAAATGTGCGCTTGCCCCCGGAAAGCAAGTCACCAGGCATACATGTGAAAAAAAAAAAAAAAAAAAAAGCGTGCACGTGAAGTCGCGTTCACACTCTTGCTACCGAGTAAGACCAAGAGAGACCAGACCGGTTTTTAAGCCTCTTGCGATCTCTTAGGGCCAGCTCCGCTGCAGCGCACCTGGTCCTAAGAAGTCGCAAAAGGCTTAAAAACCGGTCTGGTCTCTCTCGGTCTTACTCGGTCGCAAGAGTGTGAACGGCGCTTGACAAGAATGGGTCAAGGCCCGTTCACACTCTTGCAACCGAGTACGACCGAGAGAGACAAGACTGGTTTTTAAGCCTCTTGCGACGTCTTAGAACCAGCTCCGCAGCAGCGCATCCGGTCCTAAGACGTCGCTAGAGGCTTAAAAACCGGTCTCGTCTCTCTCGGTCGTACTCGGTTGCAAGAGTGTGAGCGGGCCTTTACGCGTGTGCGCACGGATAGCCATGAAGCATGCTGTTCTGCTAGTTTTGTAACATTATTAAGTTACAGTCAGATATCTGAAGAGTGTTGCCGACACCCAACGTAAGCACTGGAACAAACTCAAAATCCCCATCGGGGGCGCATATACAATCATAAATTGCTGAGCTTCTCATCCCTCTGCTGGAGTCCGATGGGTAGTACATACACCCAACTTTTAAAGGCAGAACACAGTTCTGGAGTCGAGCTTTGTTTGTGAACCTTTTATTGTCCAGGCAAGTCGAGGATTTTAATTTGTTTTTCCAGTTGTGGCTGGGCTTTCAAGAACTCTCGTGTCGAAGCACTCAGCTCATCAATGGCTTGTTGCGCTTGAAGTCTAATGACGTCATCTGATGTCGTTTGGTAGATGTGCTTCAAATCTCTATAAAGGTCTCTGACCTCGTGTGGCATGACCTGCAAAGGGAAAAGGACGGACACGGAACAGCTGTTGAGAGCGTCAAATGCATCCGTGCAGCCGACAACGCGGGTGCCCTGGCGACGTTGCAGAAACAGGTCACCTGATCTGTTTCCGCAACCACAAAACTCAACAGTGCTTTATAGTTGCTATTTTGTCCCGCTCGTTTGTCAACGCAGAAGCGGAGGTCTCCCTTTTTCATTCATATAATGATGCTCGTGGTGTGGCCTAGGGCAGCCGATGTGGCATGAGCTAGAGCCACTAAATGAGCTGCGCTTAGAGTATCGGCACTCCGTTCCCCGACATTGTTGTGGGCGCCGCCATTTTGGCTCGTATGTAGAGCAGACGCAACTGCCAATCGTCAAAATTCAAAAGTGCGACTTCCTCACCATTAGATTCGGTGTTCGGAAGGTCATGTAATATTGCTTTTCTCTGTCGCGAACTGTTTAAACATTTGTGAAGGGCGGAAAAGCGTTCCCTGTGATTCCAGATAAAGCTTCAGATAACAGGCAACCATGATTTTAAGACACAATATGGCCAAGTGTCGTTACTCTGAAGCGTAGCTTATCTAGTGGCACTGGCATGAGCGAGTGACGAACTAAAATCAAGCATTATCTGCTGCGTTCATTGAGGTCGCCTATCGAAGGTTAGGCTCTTCTCCGTTTTTAATCAATTTGGCCTCCGTGTGGGAGATGCGCTACCTCTCGGGGTATACACCAACACAGTGTTTACAAACAAGCCCGCTTTGCCCACACCAGGTGTGGGCACTGCGCATGCGCAGTGGCGTGACATCAGTGAGTTGAGTTGGTCTATAGACCCCTTTCAAAAGTTACGTGCCGATTATTAGAAGGTCGGAATCACTGTACAATGGTGGAACAGCTGACATCGTGGAACGTGCAAGTTGGTTCCATAAGATAGCTAACGTCGGAGCGCAGTCAAGGCTAGAAGCCGACGAGTCAATCAATCAGCGCCGAAAGTGCAACGTCACTGAGCTCATCGCCATTTTTGTGGGTGTTTTTGGCCTTCTAATTCAAACAAAAGCATAAAATGTGTCGTGACGTTGCCGTTTTAGTCCGCCATTGTGGAGGGATTATACAGCTGGCAACCGAGGGCAGTCTTTCGAAAGGGGTCTATTACGGATATACAACTACACAACGCAAACAACAAAGATGTTCTATACTTCGTCTCACCCTAGGATGGACTAAAGGTAAAAGCTACGCGCCACCAGATCCAATCACGAGCCACTTAGAAATTGCGTGGTGTATTTCGCACTTCGATGCACGTGTCGGTGCCTGCGTCTATACTTCGTTTCAGCTTCGATCCGAGCGCGGCCGATGTTATGAGCCGAAGGGCCAATCAAACAGCGAAACAGGCACAACGTCATGGCGTGCTCTCTGCAGTTGATAGGACCAGCCGATATTCACCATGTCTCTGTGCGTGTTCCTCCCCCAGATAGTCCTATCAGGCACAGAGAGCACGCCATGACGCTGCGCTCTTTGCGCTGTTTGATTGGCCCTTCGGCTCATAACATCGGCCGCGCTCGTACCAAAGCTGAAACGAAGTATAGGATCACTAATGGGTATGGGTGGACAGCGGTTCGAATTGAATAGCACTGAGTGACTCATCACTTTTATATCGCAAAGGAAGTTACAACATACAGATTTTGCAGTGTCGAAGCTATAGAAATGATGCAGCGCTTTTTGACTCTGAGCATTATTCGTCCACCCCTAATCAATGTTATCATAGTTTCGCATGCAACGTGATTGGACCTGGCGGCACGTGGCTTTAGCCTTTAGTCCATCGTAGGATGAGACAAAGTATATGCGATAGAAATCCGAATCGCCAATCAAGTGGGATCCGACTAAGATACATGAGAACAGGCAAAGACGCGGAACCAATGCCACGAGCCGAGGGGGCCAATGGAGCAGCGTGGAAAGTGCAAAGTCACGACGTCTTGCTTTTAGTGCTACGCCAATATCTCTTCCAATCCAATAACGCAGTGTCAGCCCCAGTTCCAACTCTGTAAAGAGCCGGTATGCTTTCCCTTGCACTACGAACGCTACGAGTGACGCAGCGCTATTTTCTAACCACTAATCGTACAGCCCTATTTTCTGTGCGTGCGTTATCGCCGACCCCTTCAATCAAGGACAGAGCGTGCAGTGACCTTGCGCTTTGGGCCTATGTGTATGCCTTTGTCGTTTACGCCACGACGCCAGAACTTGAACTAGCAACGAGAGATAGCGTGCGGACGGAGATTACAGTGGCATGCTGTTTGACTAAGCCTGACAGCGTGCCACTGCTTCGTACTTGCTGACACTGGGTTCGCTTCTAGTTATTATCGCTTTTGCCTGATGACATCGGAAAAATGATTTGACTGCACGGACCATGCGCCCAGATAATGAAGACAAAAGTGGGTGGCGGTGGCGAAGAGTGAAGGCGAGTCACATCCGAGTTAAAACGTTGAGAAGGAAGATGTTGAGTCAGCAGTGGCCACCGTCCGCATGCAGCGCCGAAACCGCAATATGTCACAAAATGAACTGTTGGGCTAGCGCTAAGGACGAGGACCAGTAGAATTGTAAAGGACGGACGCTGTAACACGGCATTTGCTGTCTTTCTGTATGTGCTCATCTGCTGGCTCATTTATTCAAGCGCAGACAGTGCCAGTGATGGAAGCAGTATTTGACCTTTTGTAGCAGTTTCTGCAGCAAACAAAATACTCGTTTGGAGCAGTCGCTGATGCTTTTGGAGCAGATGCCAACATCTGTTAGCACATCAATCGAAAATGAAAAAAGTGATTGCATCGCTAAACAAGTCCATCTATGATAATGACTAAGGGTTTCTGTTTGATACTGGACCATATTAGTAATTACCCTTTGAAATAAAAATAGACAGGGTGCAAAAGAAACACAGAACCTTGGCATTAGAAATAAGGTTCTGGACAGAGTAGGTTCCATTTAAAACGGGTACTAAAAAAATTGTTGAAAAATGAATCGCAGCGCAACACTTCAGTTGAGATAAAGCCTCCCTCCACTCCCATCTTTACACCCAGTAGTTTATTTAGCCTGTAATTATAATTTCTGTAAAATGACTGCATAAACCAGCATATGAGCTAAAGTATGTACGAATAAAAAAGCACCCTCTCCCCCCTCCAAGTTTTAAAAACCTACCCAACTAAATGGATGGATGGATAGATGGATGAATACGGCTGAGCCCTTTGGATCGGGCGGTAGCTTACGCCACCTAGCCAATGGCGCTCGTTAAATGGACCTTTAACGAGCGCCATTTGGGGAGTTGTCTGCAAACTACAATTGAAGAGCAGTCCAACATGCCTCCGCCCTTTAAAACACATTATCGTGCCGTTGTATTGGTTTTCAGTGCTTTTTATACCCCATACTACCGATACTAAAAAAAAAAAAAAAAACAAGGCGTCAAAATAGAATAAATATGCGCAAAGATAGATGCTGACAGTGCTGCTGTCGCAATTTTCGACGTGGCACCGCATCTCGGTGTCCTGCGAAAATGGCGACAGCGGGAGAGTATGCATGCGCAGAAGCTTTCTGGAACAAGGTCTACTCCTCTAATATTATGAACCACAAAAACAACCACCCACACATATTATAGAAACCTACACTTGTGCTTTAAAATTGACAGTGCTCTTTAGCACGTTCGAACCGGGGTGAAGGCAAAGTTTGCTGGTTTTCTGATCGATACGTAGCTGGGCGAGAACTACCTTGACTACCGCATTATTTAAAAAAAATAAGACCCACCTTTTTTTTGTTTCTTTTTTTCTCATCGTAGCATACTTCACTAAAATTAAGGATCAACCTAAAATCAAGACCAAAAAAGGTAGACCTGGAACAGTTTTCATCATAATTTCCGAGCCTATCGCATTGATCCAGGTGCTCAACCATGGCAGCCGCTGCTCCTAGCACTCGGGTGCAAAGCGGTAAAGCTCGGCGCACGCGTTGGTGAGAGACAGTGAGAGGCGGCAGGGAGGCACGCGGAAGACATGATAATCAAGAGATCTCACTAGGCCCTGGTCCTGTCTTATCAGAGTAGCCGCCATCCTACTATTCTGCAATGTTTTATCGCGACTTTTCGTACCTGACGTTGCAGACATGTCGTCTGGAAACTTAAGACGATGTCGGCGATCAGCCCGCCAGCGTATCAACCGACCAGCGCGGTTGACGAGCAATTTCTAAACCTTTTGTAGCGTGAGCTACACTGGCCGAGCTTGAGCAGTTTCGCGTGGCTCGCATAATGAGCCGTGCTCTGGTCTGCGCATGCGCGAGGAGCAGTGACGTCACACGGCGCACAGCGGGTGCGCCGCAGCCACCGCGCGCTCCGCCGCCACCGCGCCCGCCTCGCCGGTCTGCGCATTCCAGAGGAGACTGGCGCCGCCGCGTGCCCAGCTGTGCGCCTCCGTTGCGCAGTAGCCAAGTCTGACGCTGCACCGGAGCCACTTGATAGCGCCTTTCATTTTGTGTGCATAAGCTCACGCTACATATATCCGTGCATAACCGAACTAAGCCACCGCAAATTTTTTTTCACTGTAATTCAAAACGTAGTCGACGCTATGAGCCAATGGGACCAACCAAACAGCGTCAAAGCGTGACATTATGGCTTTCGTCCATCTTCCTGTGCGTGTTCTTTCATCGACTAAAGCAACCAAGTGGAGCGAATGCCCCGTGACACGCTTTTAGAATGCGTGTTCGTAGTTGCATCTGTTAGAGTAGGTGAGTAGAGACGCTGTGAAATATATATATTTGTAACATTTTCCTACCTTCCTACTGCTCACAATAACAGAGTCGACCAATAATAAACAATTTTTTTATGTTTTGCTTTGCTTAAGCCTATCTCGGTGCAGGTTTGGAGCAATTCATAGCAAAAATGGCATTTTGGTGCAAGATGCAGTGGAATTTCATTCATGGCGCAATTTGGCGCAGCGCTTCCATCATGGCAGTGCACAGTGCACCGTGAGCTTTCCCTTTCAGTCTGCATTTGTCTGTCTTCTAGGCTTTGACATAGCTTGGGCTACTAATAATCTTTATTGGCTCAGGAGAGCAGTGGCACAGCAGAAAGGCAACAGCCCATACTATCGTTTGTACTATATATACAATATGGAAGTTTTACTATACAAAGTATACAGCATGTAAACTAATGCTTTTAAGGCACTTTAGATGGCCCACGAAAATCAGCTTCTCAATGTATCATGTTGCAATTTACTACATAGGTACAAGCAGGTGGTAAAAGTTTAGAGTGAAAAAATAAAATTACCTCATTAAAAGAAAAAAATCTTTTTCTGGGCAATCTACGCCACCACTTCACAGACAATGCACAGATAGGGGTAAGTGCTGCCAACAGCTGGCACACGCCGCATTGAGGGAGCGCTGGCCAATAGAGTGCTTGCTAAATCACCCAGGTGCCCCGGCCCACACTCGAGGTATCATGGGAACTGTGTTTCTTCAGTTCCCTAGTGATCGGTCATATTGACCAATCCGATGCTTACACACTTTTTGAGTGTAATCCGGAGTCATCCTGAATAAGCATTGTATACAGTCCAAAAGACTTGACATATCACTTTTAAAATTTATTGTCAATGTCATTCTTTTTGATACTGTGCATGCACTCTGCCTTTCAACCTGGCTGAGCTGCAGAAAACTCTTACAATATTATCATTCTCGTGGTTGTTGTTTTAGCAGGAATTTCTAAAAAAACAATTTGAAAATACATAATAACCAAAACCAGGATTTAGCTCGGGACTCAGCAGGGCTGTTTATAGCATTTTTGCGTTTCTAACTTAATATCAGCGTCTTTGAAGCTGTGCGAGAATGATAATATAATGAGATATTTCTGAAGCTCAGCCAGGTTGAAGGGTGGATGGCATGCACAGTATAAAAAAGCCGACACTGACGAGAAGTTTTAAAAGTGATAAGACAAGTCTTTGGACTCTACCAGACACTTATTCAGGATGACTCCAGATTACACTTGCAAGTGTGTAAGCACTGAACTGGTCGAATTTACCGATCACTAGGTAACTGAAGGAACACCGTTCCCATAATTCCTCGTGGGGGGGCTGGGGCGCTTGGGGCATTTAGTAAGTGGACTATTCGGGCTCTTTTATGGGATCGTCTGCTATCATTAACCGAAGTGTCCGGCCGTCTTTCGACGCAGCATACGCCGGCTGTCAACAGCACTTATCCCTACGTGTGCATCGTCTGCGGCGAAGTGGTGGCGTAGATTGCCCACAACAGGTTTCTGTGTTGTTTTTTTTTCTTCTTCTTTTGAACGAGGTAATTTCATTCCTTGATTTCATTTTCACTGCAAACTTCCACCACCTGTTTGCACCTCTGTAGTAAATTGCAGCGCGATACATTGATACATTGAGAAACAGATCTTTGCGGGATGTCTAAAGTGCCTTAAAGGGGTACTAAAGAGGTTTTTGCAACCGTCTGTTCTTGGTCAAAACTGATTCTACAGGCCCTAAGCATCCTAAAAGTACAAAAATGACAATCATGCGACGCTGATTTTCCTATTGAAAATGTGATGAAATGTTGGGATACACTCCTTTCTGAGCGGAGTTTTACGCTCGGGAAAGGCGGGCGTACTCCAGCAGAAGTGTCAGCGCGGGAACGATGGGCGCTCGTCGTCGATCGGTAGGGAAATCGGTGTTACGTGATTGTAATTTTTGCATTTTTAGGATGCTCATGGCCCGTAGAATCAGTTATGACGAAGAACAGATGATCACAGAAACCTCTTTATTGCCCCTTAGTTTACATGCTGTAGTGCAACTACTCGCACTGAAGCAGCACCACCGGCATCTTTCGATTGTTGCTCGGTCGTTCTAGCCCACCTTGTCCGCGAATGTACATGATGATTTTGAGGCAGTAATAAAAGGGAAAAAATGTATGTATACCTTCTTTGTCCAGTGACTGAATAAAGTCTTCTCTAAAAATTCCCAATCTTAGTGGTGGTTCAGTGAAACAGCCAGTGAAACCAATGTATTCATTACTATCAAAAAAATAACAAAAAAAAATTCCTACTAAATTTAGATTTACGCAAGTTTGAAAACATCAGGTGCTACGTCACACCGCCTTGACTCTTTCGAGAATATGGCAATAACTTGATTAATAAAGTTCTAGCGCCAACAAGGAGAAGCCCCCTTAGAAAAAGGAGGAGAAAAAACTTACTTGGAAAAGCTTTGGCCCCATTCCTTTTAGGATGCAGGAGAGGGCGAGAACTGACGCACGGCCCACATGGTTCACTGGGTCCCTGATCAAGCCCCGCAAGCATGCCAGAATCTGGTAAAAACCACACACAGGAGTTACTCCAGTGCACTTCAGCATTATTTTCTTACTGGTCCTTACAACAAAAAAAAAAGCTGCTGGTCACCTCTTGCATAATGGTTCCAAAGGAGTAACCGAGTTTCCCACAAAGTTCTCCAAGGTTGGACACTGCTGAGGATCTGACAACAGGGTCAGAGTGCTTTGCTGCACCCAGGAAGCAATTCACTAGGAGATCCCTGTATTTGGGAGCAATGTCACCTAGAGGGAAGCCAAGCATTAAGGTCAACAAATTTGTAGCAAACATTCAGTGAGGCAAAAGGACCCAACAACCCTCCAGCACGTGCATTCCCTTCCAAATCCCCCCAGCCAATTTGCCTCTGGAAATTGTGGTCGGTTTGCCTTGCTGCATACCTGACCCGGGGGAATAACACGGAGCCAACGGTTTCAACAAGAAACTACATTTAATGGGACATGAACAGGACAATTAACATTGTTACCAGCGGCGCCCGAGTTCAGGCAGCGACTCCCTGTGCGCCGCCTCCGATGCGCCTTATCAAAGCGGTGCACGCGATGTGCGCGTGGCTGGCATGACGTCGCCGCCACGAGGGAAAAGTTCGGCACCTTTGCCTCGCAGTCGGGCAACTGGGCTGGGGAGCCGCCAGGGTGCCCACAAGATGTAAGAGCTTATGCTTTCTGTCACTAATTCCTTAGAGCAATCTACACTCTGGGCATGGGGACCTTTCCAACTGTTAATGCTTGCACCAGCTAGATGTTGGATAATAAAACAAATGGAATAAAACATGGAAAAAAATGAGAAGATGGCTTTGTCTGTGTTTTATGCACTGGTTGTTTTGCCTTTCCACAGAGTGTAACCAATATACTCAAGTACCCTATTTTTATGTCACTCACTCAAAACTTAAAAAAGAAAAGCTTGGCCAATCGCACGTCAGCAAAGCATAACATGATGCAGCTACACCATCAAATAAATGCAAAAGCAGCCCGAAAAAAGTTTGTATGCAGCAGATATTTTTTGCTATATTTTACTCCTGGCTACTACCTCATAAAGAATGATTATAAAATATTGTTTCTTGTATATATAAAATTCCTGAAAGTAAAAATATTTTGTCTCTAGACTTCGGTAAGCGGTTGCTCATTGCCGCAATAATGTCAGTCACTCTAGCCAAAGCGATCGAAAACAGACGACTGGTGCTTAGTGATCACAAAAAAAAAAATAGTCTTTCAATTTTCTCTTACCACAGACACTGAGCTACAAATAAAGAAGAGAGAACCTCCCAAAAGTAAGCCAAGGATACTTGGAAATGAGAAATGCCAGTCACTCCCTTGGAAAGTAATAATCCCAAAGTTGCAGATCTTCAGACAAATCCAAACCCCAAAACATTTCACTGGCTTAGATTTCTTACACTTCTCAAAAAAATCCACTGCCCTACCCATTACACAGCATGACATCAGCCAGTGATATAGCCAGGAATATCTCGGAGGAGAAGGTGTCGCCCGGCGAAGTTCGTCATTATTTGCTGCATATTTGCTCCATGGAGTTCAGCCTTCACTGGTATACTAGCGGGGGAGTACGCCAGTGACTAAACCAAACCGTACTATGCTCACAACTGGCAATAGGGATTCAACTACACATTAAAACGGGCCCGCGCACTCACCCAACTGCTTGCACACTCGAAGGAACACCTCCCCGAGATTGAGCCTTGCTTCGACGGACAAGTGCTCCAGTGCCACCTGTTCGGCCAGCCAGGGCAGGTGTCTGTCGAGGTCCCTTTCCACCAGCGCCGCAAGAGCGTGGATGGCACTCAGGTAAACATACGAGTCTTCCTCCTGGATGCCTGCCTGGCACGCCTCCAGCACCTCGTCCGCGTGCCCCAGCGTCTCTGCATCCCCTTCTTCGAGCAGACGACGCAGCCCAATAAATGCGTGCCCCCTGATCGGGACCATCCCATCGTGCAGCTCGCGCCACACCTGCTCAAATGCGGAGCTCCCAGGGCCCCCTGGTGCTCGCTGACGTGCTTCCTCTTCCACAATCGTGGTACTCTGCGGTGCCTGGTTTGCCAAGGTGGGGCTTGCGCGCTCCTGACGACTGACCTTGGCTGTCGTGGTTTGGATGCCATAGCCAGCTGCATACTTTTCTCCGAGTGCGAGGTCAGCCCGAGCATCTGTGCTGCTGTTAACAGAGCTGGAGCCGGATGAGCACTGTGGACGCTGGCCTCTCTTATCTGCGGGAAGTCCGGCCACGCCCTGCGTGGCTATGGCCACCTGCAACTGCTGGGCCAAGTTCCGCATCTCGACAGAGCTGTGGCTGGCTCCCAAAGTGCCCAAGATGGGCACACATTCCTGCAGTAGCTTTCGGTGACGCTCTGTTCGCTGGAACACATAGCCAAAGGACAGGAATGAATGCTTTGGAAATCGAAATACTGAAATGTGCACGGGCCGAAAATAAGCTAGCCAGTCATAGCAAAACTGATTTCTTGAAAAGTACTATAGCGATGTAGTCGACGTGTCAAGTTGTAAACCCACATTTAATTAGATCCTTAACGATTGGCAGATGGCAGTCCACTCACCAGCTCCTCATTGGGAATAAGCAGACCCAACAGTGTCAGGCAAAAGAACGTCGTCTCTGACACCACTGTAGCCTCCTGCCCAGCTTTCAGAATTATAACCCTGTTCAGGGTCTCCTGAAATGCCAAACACCCGGTGTCACCGACTGTCACTCCAACTCCATCAGAGCTGCACACCACTTCTTGAATTTGTCACAAAATCATTGGTGCCAAGCGTATTAAAGAAATTTGTTCTCTTCAACAATTCAAATTTAACTCACCACAACAAACTGAAGAAGTGAAGGTGCATTTTCCAGGAGCCTTTCTGAGATGTCTTGAGCTAAGTTCCCAACAAGGTGCAGCAAAACGAGGTTTTGTCTCAGCTCCTGGGAATTCAGTTCACTTTGAAGTGTGGGAGAGATGTTTGCATCGCCCCTTTCGTCTGATGAAAGTTTTGCCACAGTGGCAGTTAATTTCTGCAAGAAAACAGAAAAGCCAGCGCCATACTGGTCACTCTAAAGACTCCTTGGGGAAGGGACTTCCCAGGATTCGAACCCTACACTTGGTGCTCCAGAGGCTGAACTGGAATCTCAACAGCATAGACGTGGCCTTTCAAAGAAAGGTCATTCATTGCCTTGGATAAGGTACTAGTTACGGTACACGACAGATGACTCTCCCCATAGAAAGCTATCAGACAAATTACTGCCGAATATTGACACAACATGCCTAAATGGATATCTTCATATCCTGAAAGATAAGTAAACCCCAAAAGATATTCCACAGGGTTTCTGTCCTATCTTCAGTTCCCAGGCTTCTATCCTACCTTCAGTTCACAAAAGAACACTAAAAGATAACCAACCCTCCAAAATCATGTTGACCAAGTGCTAAGCACTGCGATAAGGACTCTCACTTCTGGCAAGGATACTGACTTGAAAACTTAGAAGGTGAGTGAATAAAGAAAGTTCCTCATTTATATTCCAAATTATAGACATTCTTGGTGCATAATATAAAAGCTGATGTCAGTATTAGTTGGTAAGGAACCAAGTCGAGCACGTTGTATGGGCTCTTTTCAAGTTGCAGACCGAAAGTTAGCCCACCATCCCTTTCATCCGATTTCGGCCTCCTTTAGGGGTCGGACATCTCTCAAGCTCTAGGAAAGCCCTTTTCTTACAGCAAGAGCTCTACGAAAAGCCCAAAGGCCCAATCACACTCTTGCGACCTCTTAAAACCTCTTACAAAGATGGGACACACTGGCACCATCTATTTGGTAGCAGTGTAAACTTGGTGGTCCGGCATATTTTCCATTTCTCTTGCGCATTATTATTTCTTTTTTGGCTCGAAAAACTTTTGTCAACGTTATAAACAAGCCTTTCTTATAGGTATTACGCACATTTGACCTCGAAAATACCGCAAAACCCTCCCTCTTGTGAAATGCAGTTCCAGGGTCGCCGCATAGATGGCACCAGCGTGTTCTTTCGTCCTAAGAAATTTTAAGAGGTTTTAACAAGTCTCGGTCTCTCTCGGTGGTACTCGGTTGCAAGAGTGTGAACGGGCCGGGGGGGGGTGCAATGATTTCCGGACTTCGGTCAAAGATTTCTGGAGGTTGCCCCCTGACACTTCTGAACTAAAGAAGCGAAAACCGATTTCGCCTGTGTGTTCTAGTTGTTGCGTAAACAAAAGATAAATATTGGCATTTCTTGCACCCCTCAACTCACTCCCAGCCTTCAGGGTCATGCCTGGTCCCCCTCCTAGTGACGTCATTCGGAGTGCAGTGTAGGTTCCCGTGTGCTATCTCGGACGACGCTTCCTCTCTCTCTCTCTGCTGACATTAGCGGGCGTTATGCTGCAGCTTAGAGCCGAGCGAGGTCACGTAATCTTTTCGCCGTAGTTCCTTCGGCTGCCACTTGAGGCGGCAGGTGGGGGAAAAAGCTAGACTTTTACTTTGCGATTAAGCAGTGGAATCGCAACATTTTTAATGAAGGAGGTGTTTTCTTTATCCTCCGGGACACGATAAACAAGGTAAAAATGACGAGATGAAAATTCTTTTATTCATAAAATCGTTGCACCGCCCCTTTAAGTGGGGGCCCACTTCCTGTACAGATATTGATTGTAAACCCCACTGGGAAGTTTAGCATCTGAGCAAAAGCTCAAAGGCTAAACATTGGGAGACAGAGGCCCAAGCAATGCCCCCCATCTTGCTTTGTTCGTAGCAGTCCAGCTTTCCAGAAAAAGTACAAGTTAATTTCCCTAAAAGTCAGCACTACTATGTCTGTACCACTACAATAAACTGCTTAGCAGGTGACACAGAGAAAACTAGACATGTACTAATATGCCTGTACCTTTAGCAAGGACAAGAAGAATGTCACTGCTGAATCCTTTGAGGCACCCTGCTCGAAAATAGCTGCAATGACAAGGCCCATCTGGTCCGTGCGTGCGGCCCATTCTTCGTCTCTGCACAACAGGACCCGACACTGTGAACGCTCCATTCTCAAGAACACATAGTAGTACAGAGAGTGAAACCTGTCTAAAATAAAGTTGATTTATATGGGGAAAGCAAATGTCTACGTCAGAATTTTACGTCAAATTGACTGTCTCATTGCCACCAAAGTCACGGGCCAGAAAAGTGTCAATACAATCTGGCTACACTTTGCAGGAATTACTGGTGAAGAAACCTCATAAAGCTTTTCAGATTTTCATAGGTCGAAGCTCATAAATATTCATTCTTGGACATAAATGCAACAGTTTAAATTAAATTTTACCAGACATTACAAAAAGCTTGGGAACCCTCGAATCAGATGAATATGCAAGACAGTGTGAAGGGCCCAACTTGTACATACCCCATGAGTGACGATCTACGAAGGGCTTGAACGCCTCCAGAACTGCCGAGAGCTATGCAAACGTCTGGTCGCACTTTACCGAAAGACGGCTGTCCTTCTGTGCCAAAAAGGCACCAGTGCAGAAGCGATGTTGCACAGTCTGCAGGCTGGGAGTGGTACACAACACTCAGAGTTTCCTCAGATAAAGACCTGCACAAAGAACGTTAGGGTTATGACAATACAGTGTGCTCAGAAAAAAAGTGTGCTCATGTGGTTCAATAAAGCTTCGCATGTTTTCTTTTTCCTCAACAGTCAAATGGCGTGTCATGCATGTGAAGCATTTGCCAATCAACCCTCCACAAACTGTTTTTCCACAAAACAGAAGCAGGCAAGAGTGACCTTCACAAGAGAACTTCCTGCTGAAACAATGGCTTTCTCAGCTTCTCGGTTAGTTTAGGGTAAACTACCATCACTATTTCTGTATATCAATTAGTAACAGAAATTTTTATAAACTTTCTACCCAAAGACCAAAAGACGAACGATGAAAGGCCAACCAAAAACATTGCGAATGTCATAAACAAAGTTGGAGGTGAGCTGTAGTAATTTTATAGAATGAATCTACTATTCTTTTTGCTGTCGAACATAAAGCTTGACTCTTTCAGTACTAGCTTCTGCTCAAATGCACGGGCAGGATGGTTTCACAGAGCTTCACATGCACTGCCATGAAAACTTTTTCTCAACACAGCCGCCGACTGATTTTTCAGACGCCGGTAATTTAGACTTGTTTGATATTTCAGACCTAAAGGAGGAACGGTGACCTCCTTGATAGAAATGGTCCATATTCTCGACCAATGTTTCAGACAGCTTGAAGTCCGAAAGTTGAATTTTTCGGACAAAATCGTCGTGAGCGATCAGTGGGAAACACCACCGAGAAGTCGCCATATTAGATTTTATGTTGGCTGCACATGGATTGGCTTGGTTTGGCAGCGCTACTTGAGTACTGCCAAGTCCTTCCACTAGGTCACGCTGTGCTACGAATTTTTTTTTCTCTAGCTACACGTCATTATCATCATCATTGTTACCATTTTGCTTTGTTCATTCGCCATTCTGCAGTTCTGAACTTGTACCTCTGATCTCGACTCGGTGAATCGTGTTTTTGGACTACACTGGCTTGGACGTCATGGCCCCATCTGTTCTCCTGCCGCTGCGAAGTGTTACTAAGAGGCGTGGAAAGTACTCAACCATAACGTTAGAAAAGAAGGCAGCGATTCTCAAGCTAATAGAAAGTGGCCGAACACAAATGGTAGGGTGACCACCCATCCCGTGACTCGTGGGACTGTCCTGCATTGAGGGCTCGTGTCCCGCATTGCGGGCTCGCAAGAAATTCCTGAATTTTCAAAATGTCTCGCATTTCACACTGTCATAAAATTCACTCTGCAACTCATAGCACTGCTGAACAACGGGGCATAGGGAAGCGCGAAGGTTGCTGGTAATCAAGTGAATCGCAATGGTACGCCATTTTCTATCCAAGCATTGCGGAAAGCGACCGTCGTTCTTGCAGAACCGACGCGCATGCACCATTGTGCACCTCCCTTTCATGGCAAAGTACATATTGTAAGAAAAAATTGCCCGCCAAAAGTTTAAATATAAATTATTGTAATTATTTTCAAATTTCTGTGTCAACGCGAAAGGGTTGCTGTGGAATTTCGTTTTAGTAAAGACAGCCACACAAGGCAAATAGCCTGCAACTCACAATGATCGAAAAAGAGGGCCATGTTGATAAAAGTAAGCGTTGACAGGAAACAATAACCAGAAAAAGATTTACTGTTTCATATTACCATTTGACGCACTGAGTTTTGTTGCAGTCGATTTTCATGTTTTCAACTTCGACACATTTAATAACATATTTAGCATTAAAAAATATGCACCAGGAGTGAAAAAATTGCTGCAATACAATGTTCAGGTGAATAAACAGCACAGGATATTAAATGTGTTAACAGAGCCTCGGTTCGTGGTGTGCGTGCTAATAAATTTCCTCCCCCCCCCCCCCCCCCCCCCCATGCCTTGCGTGTCCCGCATTTCGCTAGCAGGAAGGTGGTCACCCTAGCAAACTGAGGCATAACCTGAAGCAAGGCGCGCAGGCATAACTTGAAGCAAAACACTATTGACAGCTTTCTTAAGCCCGCTTATATGTAATAAAAGCAAGTTTTTTAATCTGCTGATTTTTCGGACTGCTCTATTATTCAGACGTTTTTTCGGTCCCTGCGAAGTCCGAAAAATCGGTCGGCGACTGTACATCAGCATCTAAATGCCATGACAACTATGTGGTCAAATACAGGTGAAAGGTGAGGAACAAAGTGGGTGTGCATTCTTCAAAGCAGCAATAATGAGGATGCCCCTGTTACATTTGATCTTGTAGACAGTGACTCCAAAAGCATATTTCACAAGGGCTCATGCCCCTTCTCGAAAAATTTATGGCCGCAAAATTGCTCGAGGGACGTTGATGAGCCACCTGAAAATAGGGGTCTAGATGGAGTGGACACCGTGCCACTGAATGATGAAGAACGACGCAACAATAGACATATTTTATTACTGTTCTCAAGATAGCTCCCTGCTTAAGGAGTGGCATGTATTCATTTTGAGTATACAATTAAATTTAGCCTGTCTGGTGTCTCGGACGTGCTCTATATTTTCATTAGAGCCTCGCATCTATAGACTCATTTCCCACGGCTATTATCTTCATATTTGTGACTTCGACAGACACTCCCATTAAAGGGGCACTGACACATCAAAATCCTTTTTTTTTTTTGTATCCGAAACGATTGAAAACGATGCCGGGACATTACCCTCAAAATTTGAAATTTGGGAATTCAGTATTTGTGAAGTAAAAAAACAATTTCCAAATGCCGAATTCAAAGTTCCCGTGCGATCGGCGCCGGTGCCTTGACGTCAAAAATTGCGGAGCCCTGAGAGTTCACTTTCTTTCACCACTCCCTGCTGTTGCCATGGCGACCCAAAGCGAGGAGGAAAGGAGCGGGCGCCGGCGTTGCGGCAGACCGGTTTTGAGCGGTGTCGCCTGTTTTCCGTTGGAGGATACAAATCCAGGAGACGGCACCACAACAAACTCCCGATTTTTGGTATTTCAAAAAGAAGGGCCGTAGTACGTTCGTAATTGCGTTAAAAAACATGTTTTAGGATTGCCGTAATTAAATGTTATAGAGATGTCGCCTACAAAGCTTCTAAATTTCATGATTCTTGACGTCACCGATCAAAAGAAGCGAGGAGGCGAGAGGCGGGAAAATCGAACACCAAAAATAAAAAGGCGCGCGTGCGCGCGAAAAATTTTTTTTTTTTGCGATGCGTTTTTTTTTGCGTGTCTATGACTGCAACTTGCATCGTTTTAGACAATAAAAAAATACGACCTTTGGGGTGTCAGTGCCCCTTTAAGCTGAAGCAATAAAATATCTCGCATCGCATTTCATACATCTTTATGCATGCCTTACAAAAGATGAACGAAACTGTTCTTGTAAAAAAACATCATCCTAAACATTTTATCCTAAACTTGGTGGAGAGAAAAAAACAGCCCTCTATGTAGTTGCCATCATACCCATTATATTACAGCACATAAATGCTATAGATTAATAGGGAAAAATTTTTTTTCATAACATTTTGCATGAGCTTTATCACTTTAATACTTCTAATGAAGACATGCAACATCAAAGGCCACCCCGAGAATAAAATAGTGACGTTTGGCTCAGATACGCCCACATCCAATATTTCTGTAAATTATATGCACTACCTTTGCCATAAATTAGCTACACCATGACAAACCAATCTACCATTGCGACTTTCTCGGAAGGTTTATTCAGCACGTCGGCCCACACTACTGCTGTTGTCTATCGTTACCTTCTCACAAATGAGGAATGACACAACTTACCGTAGATAGGAAATGGTATTTTCCGTAAAAACGGCAATTTCAAAAAGGATTGGAAAAATGGGAACCAATGCGTCAAGTAATATGTGGCCAGGGTCAATGTTGCAAACAATCTAAGAAGAAATGAGAAGAAATAAAGAAACATATTTAGATTTAAATGATCAAATGTGTGCACTCGTTCCCCATAGCAAAGGGTAAATTACTTTGTTAGATGAAAAGGCTGATGATATCCCTGCACAAGCAAACTGGCTAGGCACAGTACATTTTCAAGAAGAAAAACCTCAATTCTAAACAAAGTACTGCATTGAGCAGACTATCCCCATTTCCTTCCTGTACTCGTTTTCATCTTAAGGGAGCTGTGCAACAATTTCAGTGCTTTGCTTAAATAATTTGGGAGTTGATGTTTCGAACTTTCTGAAGTAAAGAACAAAAAACCGCTTTTGCCTGCATGTAGTTTATAATCTAAAAATGAACAAAGATTGAGGTTTTCGGCACCTCTCAACTCTTTCACCATCTTCCGAGTCACGTGCGCTGCGACGTCAATGGGGGTCGCACAAGGTTCCAGTGAAGCTCTCTCTCTAGAGCCATCAGTGAGCAGCGAGAACTCATCCCCCGCGTGACCACGTGCTGGCGCAGGGTGAACAATATGGTGAAAGGAGGAAAATCTCATCTGGGTCCAACCATCCCCGCCTGCCTGCCCCCCCCCCCCCCCCCCCCCCCCCCCCCCGGCTTCTGGCGGCTGTTCGCGGTAGCAGATAAAGCTGACGGTTTTGTTGGCCTCGGATAGGTGGCGCCACTAAGACTCCGTATAATAAAAGTTTTGTTGATGATACCAGGTTTTGGACGCATTTATATGTATGCTGGAACGACATGATTTATAGAAAAGTTACCCTTTATCGAGCAGGTATTCGCACAACTTGCTATTTTTCTACAAGACCCCCACAGACGTCATGCCGCGTGGTTCTCATGGCCGCCGCTCGCGGCTGCAGGTCGGTTAATATTTTATTTCTTGCCTTGCGATTACGCGGCGGAATCGCAACATTTTTAAGGAAGGAGGTGTGTTTTCTGTCCTTTGTGACAAGATGAACAATGTCAAGAGTAGAAGATGGCAATTCTTTAAACGTTAAAATCGTTGCACAGCTCCTTTAAGAACAGAAATAAAGAGAATTCCACCACTACTAATTTCCCCCTTTATGCGGGAAATTGAGCTAGCAGTATGTGCATTTAAGATCAATTATTTCGCATTTTGTCAAAACATTGCAAGGCTTTATTTCTTGCTTGTTATGGACTTTGCAGACAAGCTGAGCCTCCCTATCCAGTCTCGCCGACACAGGGGTTTAGGGACGAAGTTTCTTCAATAGATGTTCATTAAAGGCTCCTGGACCGAGCCCTATACTGCTTTGTGCTCAATCTTTAGAGAAGCTATTATGAGTGTGGCTGACGCTTAAACCCGCCCACAGAGATGCCCTTAAGAGAAAGTAGAGGGGTGTGGGAATAGGCTTGGTTTGTCCTCATTAGAGACAAACGTTAACCCCTTGATTATTACCACCACCACTAGTGGTATTCCGCAAGCTGTGACAGAGAGGTTTCCAGACCAGAGGCACACAAGGCCTGTGATTCTGTTAAAGATGATGCAGAGGGTGTGAAAAGCCAACCTTATGAACCAACTCCACGCAGCTCCCAATCTCGTTTTCAGTGGCAATGACTTCAGTCTGGTCGAGCAATGGACCTGAAAAAATTTTGAATATAGTCGCGTCTATGTTTTGTCAAACTCCATACATACAAGGGGTCTCTATCAAGAGGCTAGTGCTCACGTGACCACTCAGTGCAGGCTACAGTCACAGAAAACAAGTGCTAGGCAGCAAAACTATTGCTAGGGCAGTGCTGGTCCCATTGTTGTCAAGCTCGGGTTTCAAAGGGCGACCTTATCAGATAACAGCAAGGAATAGAAACGAAGCACCAAACCAAAAGCTGCCCACCATCTTGAAGCATGCAGTTGAGGAGCGGTTGAAAGAGTTTCCTGAGCAGCAGCCGAGACGTGAGGCACGGTCGGGCCTCAAGCATGGCACCTGTAATGCCGCATGCTACCCGAAATGTCACCTTGTCCGTGCTGGAGCCACTGAGAAGCTCTGCCACCTGGAAACAAAGAACACCTTGCATCACATGGTGCTGCCAAGAGACAAGAGGCTACGACTGCCAAATGAGGTATTTCAACTAGGGTAACTATTCAACAGTAGTTCTTAATTTTTTTTTTTTTTAATTTTATGGATAACATTTTTTAGATAAGCTATAAATCATGCAGAGTGCATACTAACATAGATATCGGTCATGGTACAACTTACCTCCAAAACACACCCAATTAAAAAGGCACATTAGATTTAAAGATTTAAGTTACAAAATGGAAATCTGGTTTATAACAGTCTTTAAAAGACTGCACTCTGCTTTACTTTTACCAGTTTGCTTCACACAACTTATTCAAATGTTTTGTGTGCTGGAGGTGTGCTTACTTAGAACAGCCATGAAGAGATAAATTTGCCTTAGTAAAGTAAACACAAATTAATTATAAAGGATCTAATAACCAAAATAAAAAGGGAGCAAAAATCAGGAGCCTCCGCCTATGAAAGGTCATTAATTTCCGCTCGGCAGGATTTGGTCAGAGGTGACTCCTGGCTCACCTGTGGTGCGAGTTTTTCATAGTAACCTTCTGGAGAAATTTTTCCACTGCCAGGGATCCTTGCGACAATTGTTGCAAATGCGTCATATTTTTCCCAGTCTTTCTCGGATACGATGTTGCCAGAGCTGTCCACTTCGAACGAAAAAAAAACACAATTAATGAAAGAACGCTTTAAACCTGCACACTCATAAAAAGCTGATGCTGAACCAGTTCCTTCCAACCTTCTACAACCAACTTACGTCGTCAGAACTGATGAAACCTGCTGTATAGATAAAGGATTATGAGCAAGAACCTCCACATGAAAACATAGGCAACCATGGAAGCAAATAATGGATGGTCTTAAACATACCATCGTCCGCTAAATTTGACGTGCCATATATCACCTACCAAATTTAGCAGAATTGGTCGACTTTGCATACAAAATTCTTGTATATACTCTACAAACAAAAATTTTGTCGGGAATAACCAAAACAAGCTGCAATATTTTACAAGGAGAGGGCGTTCATAACTAGCTGATAGAAAAAAAAAGAATTAAAATGTTGATTCTGAAGGACTGACAGATATTTCCTTCCCATTCGTGGCATGGGGGTGACACCTACCCAGTCTACATAACGGCTGATGCGAGTTAGATTCAGGCATTCGGCAGCAGCGGTGGCACGCAACGAACAGTGCGTGGTCACTCGCTCGTGATTTCCACAGGTTGGTGTCTTTGTTCGTTTTATACTTTCTCGCAGTTGCTGCTGCTGATGCCGATACTGCAGTTACTTTTGTTGAGTGCGCCTTGTGCGTTAAGATGAGTAACCAGGGCGAGGGCATTTGCCTCAAGTGTCTTGAACCGTTATTAGACGATGTCACTGATGTAATGTGTACGGAATGAAAATTCATATATCATTTTGGCACTCGTTCCGGGATCGCGGAACCGACTTTCAAATCAAAAGGTGAAGAGTTCCAGAAGTCGTGGCGGAACGAAACATGTCGTAGCACGTCAAAAACGAGAAGCGGTTGAAGTTTTAAAGCAAAAAAAGACACCGAAATTGACGTGGTCGCTATGCTGACGTGCATGAATAAGAAACTTGACAGCCTACCGAGTATGAAAAAAAAACTGCCTACGACATCGAGGTCTCCATTCAAAGCATGTCGGACAAGTACGATGAATTGCTGGAGCATATTCGTCAACAAGACAAAGACACAGAAAGTTTGAGGAAACGCGTGGAAAAGATAGAGAATGCTGGTACTGAAGGGCAACTGGCAGAAGTTAAAACAGGACTTGAATCAGCTGGAATGGTGCAATAGGAAACAAAATTTAGAAATTCACGGTGTCCGACAGGCTGAAAACGAAGACCTGCTGTCTCTGGTGAACCAAGTAGCTGTTAAAGGGATGCTGAACCGAAATCTGGATTCCCCGAAACACGCAGCAAAAGCGCGCAACGGGATGCTACAAACACCAAAACATCACTCATACTGCGATATCTCGAACGGATGACCGTATTTTTCAAGAAACGGAGGCGGATTTGGCAGGAATGTTGACGTCATGTTTCTCCGAGAAGGAGAGGGAACGGCCTTGCGTCTTCTCCGCCTCGCGGCCTAGAGCAAGCGAAGCGAAGAGAGGAGGAAACTAGGTATCTTGACGGTTACGCGCCTCGTCGGCCTGGTTCAACCTCGACTTCTTTTTCCAAAAATACGGCCGTCCATTTTAGATATCGCCTTACTAGTAGTGTTGTAGGGATTGTGGCGTCCCGCCTACATGCCCAGCATTGTTTTATTGAAATCCAAATTTCGGTTCACCATCCCTTTAAGCTAGGCATCCCAGCGTTAACCCCTCTGAGATAGTTTCAAAGCACAGGCTTTCTTTTAGGCCTGATAAAATCCCTGGGATCACTGTGCGCTTGGCACAACAACAAACTAGCGATCACTGGCTTGATCAAAGACGTCACCTAAAACGTCCTGAAGATAGCGAGTATCTGCCTGAAAACATGACTCGAAAGGACAAGGCTCTCCTGTGGACCACTAAGGAGTGGGTAAGAAAGCAGAATTATCAGTTTGTGTGGCACCGAAATGGGAACATATTTGTAAGGAGGAAAGCCGGTGACTGTGCTACAACTGTAAGGAGTGAACGTGACTTGATGAACTTGAACTAAGTGATGGAACTAAATCCACCTTTAGTCTTTAAGTTGTGTTTATTTTTTCATCATGGCCGTCCCAGAATGTGTATTACCGTCCCAGTTTGAAACATGCATTGGAAAAGAGTTTTCTTCCTTGACTCGTTGTCTGCATGCTAATATTTTATCAGCTAAAAATAAAAGCGTTGATCTTGAGTGCTTTATTTCTGAGTTTGTTGATTCTGACATGATCATGTTTTCCGAAACCTGGTACACGGAATATATTGATGTTTTTAGGCTACTGCTATGGAATCTTTTTTTCTCAAATGCACTGAAGGCCGAGGGGGAGGTGTGTCAATTTTGATTAAGGAAAACATTGAGTTTGAATCATTGCCTACGTTTAGCGTAATCATTAAGGCCTATGAAGCCTTGTCACTGCAAACTAAGCACAATATTGTCTCTGTGATTTATCAACCTCCTGCCGCGTTTTGGCTCCCTGTTTGGATTGTTTAGGTGCTCGTTTTGAGTTTGCAAATTAAAGTAAGCCCAACATTATATGTGGTGGTGATTTTAAAGTGAACATGCTAAATAATAGTGTTTCAAAAAGAGAACTTGATAATCATGAATGGTTGTCGGAACGTAACCAGTTTGCCAACTAGGGTAAATGTTACTTCAGAAACATTGATTGACTTGTTCATTACTAATTACGAGCAGAGCCATGAAAGGTCTGAAGTAATAAGTTATGACCTTAGGGATCATTTTCCCGTTTTCATGTGTGTTAAAACCAGCTGTGCAAAGAAAAAAGGGCCAGTGTGTTTTGTGTCAGTCCAGTGTATTACGCCGGACGGTTTGGGGAGGTTTGCGCAGAATGTAGCTAACACAAATTGGGATGACGTTTTCGAAAATGGAGACCCCAATGAGGCACACAGTTTATTTTTGGAACGGTTTAGAAGCCTTTACAGAGTCAATTTTCCCCACAAAGTAATTAAAGTAACAAGTTAATTAAATTAAAAATGCGGATTTGGAAACCTTAGGTAATGGTTGACTTACTCGAAAGAATAAATATTAAAAACGCTCTCTACAAAAAGTTTACGAAGACTAGAGATCCCAATGACCTCAAGACATTTAGAAATTATCGTAATCAACTAACAAAGGACTTGAAAAAGGCCAGGGAGCGTTACCATCATGAATCTTTCAGATCTTCAGTAGGCCGCAGTGACCTTATGTTGAAAAATTTAAATGCGGTTGTCAGGCGCGGTAAGTACTCCAATGATATAGAAAGCATTTCTTCTGGCGGCGTCAAGCTAACTGGCATATCTTTAGCAGATGTAGTTTATTTCACAATACTACTACCCCAAACATAGGGGCATCGTAGGAGAGGGTTACAAAAATATATATACAGTGAAACCTGTTTAGAACAAACCCACGTACAGGAAATTATTATCGATATCGAACTCACGGGAAATTTAAATAAAAATGCATGTAAAAAGTACTTTTTCTAATGAACAACATATTCGCTATATCAAACTTTTTCCTCCCGTGAAGGCTTTCAAAAACGCGCAAACAACCGTCTTCTAGCCTGTCCCTTCTCCCTTCCCCTTCCCCTTCCCCCCCCCCCCCCCCAAAAAAAAAAAAAAAAAGAGAAAGAAAGAAAATTCCAAAGGCTCAAGTTGCAAACAAAATTGAGCGAAGAGAAGCAATCCAGAATGGGAGAAAGCTAAAAATACACTCTGCATACACACACAGAAATATAAAACTTTTCATCCGAAAACCGTTGCCCACAAACAAAAGAAATTCAGAAGGGGAGATAAGCTAAAAGAAGCAAACTCTGCAAACATGCAAAAAAAAAAAAAAACTTTTTAGCACGTTGTTACAAGGCGAAAGCGAAGAGATGAGAAAGAAAGAGAAGCTCTTGCCTTACAGGAATGCAACGTGGAAGTTCGTTGTAAATGATTTTTGCTATATTGAATTACTTCCTATATTGAACTGATCATAGCATTTCCTGCTGTTCGTTATAAACGGGTTCGACTGTATATAAATGAATACATTTCGACATAATGAGCAAGTTGCTTGCAATAAGGTGGCCAGCGGTGCAGGAAGTTTTCAAGTGAATCTGAATTAGTGATGCTGGGGTGAAGGCTATTCCAATCGGATATAGTTCGTGAAAAAAATTTAATTTTTAAAGCAATTTATGCGGACCTGGATATTGTTTATGTATCTTGGGTGTGAAGCTCTAGTGTTAGTTCTGGATGTATTTAATGACTACTTCATAAACTTACCTCAACATACTTATAGTGGCAGCGCATGCAAAAATGTCCCGTTTAGAAACAGTGACTATTTTTTTACATCCAGTCACTGACGCAGAGGAGTTTACAGTGTTTATGGAATTAAATAACACTCACAGTTGTGATGCGAATGATAAGTAGATTAGACCAGTCAAGTGTGTTTTACCTTTGATCACTTCGTCTCACTCATATATTTAACTTGTTTCTTTCAACTGGTGTGTTTCTGGAACTCATGCAAGCAGCTAGTGTCTGTGCTGTACAAAAAGGCAGATAAAAACTACATAAGCAATTACAGGCCTATCCCTGTCTTTCCAGTATTCTCAAAGGGCTTAAAAGAATTATACATATTCGTGTATCTCAGTTTTTGGATAAACACCGAACAATTATTAATGCTCAATTCGGCTTTCGGAAATATCGATCTACAGAACTTGCATTGCTTGAACAAAAATAATTCATTCTATGAAGTTTTGATGGAAAGAAATTGGCCCTTGGCATTTTTGTAGATTTTATAAAGGCATTTGATTATATATGTTGCATAAATCATATTTAAATCACCGTAAAGGCAATTATATCCGGTGTACCACAAGGAAGCATCTTAGGGCCGCTACTGTTTAATGTTTACATCAATGATATTGTAAACATAAATCCACTGACTAAATTCGTAATATATGCGGATGACACTAGCCTCTTCTTTTCTCACGAGACTGGTGACGAGCTTATCAGCTGCACAAACGTGACCCTAACAGCATTGCAAAAATTGTCGTCAGAGAATGCGTTAAACATCAATGCGAGCAAGACGAAGGCAATCATCTTTCGGCCTAAAAACAAAAATGTTTCTACAACTAAGATCATTGTCTTAAATGCAAAGGATATATAGATATTGTAAAAAATTTTAAGAATTTTGGGTATGATTTTCAATCAGTGCTTATCTTGGGAAAATCATTAAATGATTTACGCACTAGATTGTCACAGGTCATTGGAATAGTCTCTCGTAACCGTTTTATTCTATTGAGAAATGTTAAGCTTCTTTTACACCCCACTATTTTTTTCTCACCTGAATTATTGTCATTTAGTTTGGGGCACAACCACCCACACACTAATCTCCAAAAAAATACTCTTATTGAAAAAATAATCCGTGCGCCTCAATGAGAATGTTTCTTCCGACTCGAGCACCCAGGGTCTATTCATAAAAAATAATATACTTCCTGTTTAGAACATGTACAAGTATAGACCCGCAATCAGTTTTAAGTTAGAAAATAGCAGATATGGGGATAGCTTAGTAAACCTCGCGGAGCTAAAAGAAGATGTAACTTCCTGCCCAACTCGGTCGGTGGAACACTGGACTGTGAAACTGTGTCAGTGCAATCAATGCAATCACTCAAATACTCACTTTCTACTATATTGAACACCCTAATCAAAAATAACATTGATATTATTTCTATTGCAATTCAGGAATTACGAACTGAACTAATGTGGGACGAAAACAAATGAATCGATTTATGAGACCTGTTTGATTTTTGTATTTTACCTAGTTATGTTGGTTTTCTCAGTGTTTTCTTTTACACTGTTGCTTTGTTATGACTTCTGTATATGCAACTATAAGGGAAAAGGGGCTCCGTCAAGCTGTTCTTACAGCTTTTTTTTTTTTTCCCTCATTTCCTCCATTGTGGTATCAAAATGTAAAATAAAGTTCCGTAATAATAATAAGAATTTTCATTGTTAGAGTTGAGAAAAGGAAAGCAAGTGGCAAAGCTCTTCAACCAGTGCTTTCCACATGAACGAACGAGCACCTAATTTCTCTGGACATGTGCCTCAGGACATGTGCAGACATAACATGGAGGATGCTAAAATGATCCTATATTTTGATGTCAGAACTTTTGGCCAGCTCCTAAATACTGCAAATATGACAAGACAGATACAGCGCGCCTAGAAAAAGAAGAACAAAGGTTTTACTCTTTGTTACTCCTCGAACACCGAGGGCAAAAAAGACTCGATTGAAGAGAAAAGAAAAGATAAATGCAAAGGACCTCAAAATTTCGGTCGGATGTGTACTGTACCTACCAGAGCATGCATCAAAGACACCGCACAGGACCCGAGAAAGTCCTTCCTTCCGCAGCAAGCACTGCGTCAGTAGCTGGCCGCACACACTTTTTAGCCACCTTGGAGCCCTCTCAGGATTGCTTCCCTGAAAAGAAATAGTAAACAGATGTACGTTACATAAATATGTCCATACAAGGAATTGCGAGCAATGCAACAAAGTAGGAACAATCCAGAAAAGCATTCCTTGGGAAGGACTGCCTGTGGAGGAAGGGACCCGAGACGTGTCCTGTTCGGATGGCCGTTTATGGAACACTGACTTTGCGGGTGCGCAAACCCCGCGTGCCCCCCCAATCGTCCGCGCGCTCCTACTCGTCTCTTATTTCTCAACATCCTGCCGGGCCGGAGCTGGTGTCTCTGCTGCCTCAAGAAGGTAGAGCCGCTGGACAGGCCTGTTGATCTCTCGCCCATCTGGAAGAATAATTCTGCACACTCGTGGAACTTGATCTCTGCCGGGGAAGAGCGCTGCAATCCGACCGAGTTTCCACAGTAGGGGAGGAGCGTCATCGTCATTGACGATCACGACGTCGCCAACCTTGATTGTTGGGGTCGGAGTCTGAGGGCTTTCATGAGCCGACCGCAACTGCAGTAGGTACTCGTGCTTCCATCTACGCCAAAAATGGCCTAGGATTGTTTGGCGTAGTTTGGCTTGTTTTTGAAGGCTTGACTTGATCGTCTGGGCGCCATTCGAGCGCGTTGGGGCTGCCTGTTGTCGCACTTTCCTTTATTTTCTGTCGGTACATGAGTGCTAGATCTTCGGGAAGAGCTCTCATCAGTACACGATGAAGAACCACCGCGTAGTTGTTGGGAGGAACATTCAAGCCTTCTAGAGATGTTGTGTGGAAACGAATGGCGTCGTACAGCTGACGTAGTTGCGTGGCGTTTCTTGAACTGCTTATTTTCGGAAGATTCAGTAGCTGGTTAATGTGTTCGTCGATCAAGATATCACGTCTTCCAAATCTGTCATGAAGTGTACGAACTGCAAGGTCATAATTCTGCTCGGAGAGACGAATGCCTTCGACAGCCCGCTTTGCGTTGTGAGTGAGGTATGTCATGAGGTACTTAAATTTCTCGATAGGAGGGAGATCGGGATTTCTGTGAATCGTGACATCAAAATGGTCCCAAAATCCCTGCCAATCCCTGATGTTTCCGGCAAAGGTAGGTACCTGGAGTTTGGGAAGGGCGACCCTTCGATGACTGCCATGAGCGGGTGCTGTAGGGACGGTTCCGGTGGGAGAAAGGCTGCTCAGGGTTTCGGTTGTGGGAGGGTTGCCGCTGTGCTGCAGTGTGTCGGTTGGGGTGCTTGCAACACGCGTGGCGGTGATCGTGGGTTGGTTTAGTTTTTCCAGGGCGTAACGAAGGCGCGTGATGCCGTGGCTAATCCCCGTGCGGTAGTCCTCTGCTCCCTCGATTTCGTTCTCCAAGTCGTCGTCCGTTGTCAATGTAAGAATATCCCGGTCCAGGTCATCTAGGCTTGTCTGCTTCTGGATGAGGTAGTCGAGCGGGAGCCGCAAGTCAAGCTCTGTTGTGTTCGGGTTCTGGATAAGAACGTCCAGCTGGGATATTGTCCTGGTGACGGCGGAGCGGACAACGCCGCGGGTCCTGCGTAGGCGGTCCATGTCCTCTCGAGGGGTTTCGGCACCAATTTCTATGTGGAGGAAGGGACCCGAGACGTGTCCTGTTCGGATGGCCGTTTATGGAACACTGACTTTGCGGGTGCGCAAACCCCGCGTGCCCCCCCAATCGTCCGCGCGCTCCTACTCGTCTCTTATTTCTCAACACTGCCAATACCATATTTGCAAGAAAAGCCCAAAAACAAGAGAGCCACCCAAAGAGTCATATTTGCCACAAAAATGTTTCTGTGCAGCAAGAGGGGCCCTCTGGCCCCCCTGCTACAACCAGTCCTATTCTAGATACGTCTATGGACTGCTTAAGGGGTCATGACACAGACATCTAGTTGGAGTATTCTTGATACAAAACCTTCACATTAACATACACACCAATTTTTGTTGTTTTTAAAGCCATAATGGCACTGCCTTAGCTCTTCCCTGACCATGGGGAAAATGCCTGTTTTGTGTTGCTTTTTGCTCAATTTTTTTTCTTGAGGAAAACAATTAGGTTTACAATATGATGCTTACATGGAAATGAAGCTAAATAAATAAGTGTTTGAATGATGCAAATGTCAAAGCAGAGATTTAAAATCCAACGCAATATTTAATTGGTCAAACAGAATTATTTTCCAACTTTTGGTCCAAACCAGGTACAGATATGGCCATCTATTAAAGGGGCCCTCTGCAACAACTTTTTGACTGGTTTTTAATTTTCAGCCTGAGCGCATTGAACGTAGTAACTTAAAGAAACTTTTCTTTTCTCAAATTTCGCTTTATCTTAAAAGTTATAGGCAAATTAGAATTACAAAAACAAGCAAAAGATAACCTCCTTCATGACATCGTAGGTCCTGGCTTGAGTGGCCGTGAACTAGAGGAGAAGTAGTGAGCTCATTCAGCGCTCACGGCTGCCGCACTCCGTGTCGATGACTCGAGAGGGCGCCACTAAAGCAGGTGTTGGATAGGCTGTATGAAGCGGGCGGCCAGGGCGGCTCGCCTTGCATTTGCTGCGCGATTAAAGACTAATTCGGCATAACACTTCATTGGCCACAAACGACAGCGAACACGGGATAAAGATCAGTTCAGAATGGGAGCCACTTCGCGCTGCCATACTGCCAAATGGCCAAATGGCCAGCCAAGCCCACGCGAAAGCCTTCGGAACGCTCAGAACCGGTCGGATCCTCGAGCCGGTATACGACTGCAGCGCCGCCGCGTACATCCGGGACCTTTCCACGCTCGCCGTTCGTCGGAGCCTCATCCCACTAGCCCTTTCTAGTATGCACCATTTTTTCCGCCGCTTGGTGGCGGGTTTGTCGACAGGTCTTTTCTTGCTTCCGTACTTTATAAACTGCATTTGTTTCTTTTCTGATCTAAAATACTGAACAAAAACTACTTTCATACATAATTGAAACGGTTTGCGACACTTATATTTTGTATCTCGACTAAAAAAAAAAGCTTTCAGCGGCTTTGACCTGTAGTAAGCCCAGGACCAAAGACGTCACACATTGCACGCTTTCGGCAACGTGGGTCACCCTCGTAGGTGGAGGAGGTTTCCGCGTCGTCCGGTTAAAATATGACTCACTGATATTTAGTTACTCTCTCCGGGCCCGCTGGCTTGCCCGAACCCTAAGAGACGTGGAAACCGCAAAAAAAGGTAGACGCTTAAATATGATTGCAGGGCCCCTTTAACACAAAAAAGCAAAAAAAAAAAAGAAGTTAAATATACTAAATGTTCTCCAATTTCACAAAAAAAGTAGAATTTTAGCTTAAGGGGAGACACCCCTGGGAGGGTCAACTTTTGAACCCTTGGCTTAAAATTAATGAAATTTACAGGGTAGGCTGGTGGTCATGCTAGAGGGTGCATAACAAAATTTTAGGTCTGTCGGTTAAGTGGGAAGGAAATTAGGGCAGCTTCTACCAGCAGCACCCCTACACTGTTTAGTTAATCTATCGTCAGAAAACTATCACAATATTAAAGATTTTTATTCACTAGATATGTAGCAGAATGCCTAGGAGGTATGCCTATGGAAAACTTTTTGTAAAAAGTCATTGATTTCTATCAATTTTCTCTTCTGCGAAATTGGTCAACTTTTTGGTCTTCTGTGTCTCCGACAAAATGTCAACATTTTTTATAAAAGACATCCGTAAAGTGACAAACAAACTCCATAGGCGCATTCCTTATTAAATTTCAGTCAGGAAAAGTGAAGAACGAGCCTTGCCTGTATTTTCATTCTCAAACGATAGATTGACTAAAATGGAATTTATACAAAAAAAGTTCAACGGAGAAAAATGTGTTCAAAGTGCTCCAAACCCTACCTTTCCTTTAGCTTTGGTGTACAGAAAATAATTTATAAAAAATTAACTATGCAGTGTAAACTAGTGAAAATTTCTGGGAATACTCTCTGTATGTAGATGGATGTAAATATGTAATCTTTCAAAATCAATGTTTTTTGAAGAATCTTTTTTTCTCCGGGTAGTGTCCCCCCTTAAAAAGATTTTGATCTACCAAAAATCATGTTAACCCTCATGAATGACATGCCATTGGATCCAGTCATTTCCCAACGTGGTGAAGCACAGGTCATCAGAACTTAAAGGGATACTACAACGAAATTTCGTCGCTCATTTTTTGGTATATATGTGTTCAAAGGAGCAGTATCACATCGAACATACCAATATCTTGTTAAAAAAGTCACAAAAAGGAATTTTAAAACAAATTAAACGATTAGCAAAGAGCACTTGGTGGATGTTGCTAACGCCTCGTTTGTAATGCCCGTCTAGAAACCTTGACAGCTAGTGACGGTAACTGTCTCGCCTCTGGCCACGACGAGAGAAGAGGGGAAGGAGGAATTCCCCTCTTCCCGAGGATCTCTTTTGTGTGCTCCAGAAGTCGCTATTGTCCCCCTATAAGATTACAGAAGATTAACCCGTCACTCAAAATTCGTACAAAAGCAGCTGCTTCGGTGGCTGGAACGACTAGGCCATCCTCTCGACGTCAGCCTCGCCGTAGCTTTGTTCGTCCCGAGACGAACTACGTCGCGATTGCGTTGGATGTCACGTGCTCTCCGCTGGCTGTTTCCTGAGCACTTGCCAGAGTGGGCCGTTTATAACGAAAAATACAGCCACCAAGCTCAAAATACAAACGTGCGATTCTCATTTACGGATATTGTGGATCATATTCAACCTATTTTTGAACACGACAGGTATATTTCAAATTTCATTGAAGTACCCTTTTAAATATGATCTTATCATTGGACCCAGTGCTGCTATCCGAGTCTAAAATCGACGGGGAATTTGCGAAAATTTTCATGCTTGCGAGCGCACGCCGGACCCGTGGAAGTGGACATGGCTGTCACAAACAACGATGTGCCGTCCATTTCACGCTCCGCCTAAAAATCACTGCCACGCAGAAAGAGGAAGAGAAACAAAGAAACCAAAACTTTAGTCTTCAAACTACCTACAAGATTGTGCAAGAGTTTTGAAATGGGCCTCCACGCCCATCGAACGCCCATCGATCATGGGTGTTGTACGCTCTGTGCTCAGGAAAGGGTTAAGGTGCCCAGTTACATTGTCACCAATTAATGCCAACACCTCTACAGTGAAGTTGAGTAATGCGGTGTTGAGTAATGAAGTTGAGTGAAGCGCTATTATGTTCTCCAAGTCTACAGTGAAGTTTCATTTGTAATAGGCAATAAAGCAAGTATGTGCAGAGTAAGCTCCACAATAAGTACAAAAATAATTTATTTGTTTAATTATGATCCAAGTGGTTCCTTGCCGCTGCCACTTATTTGAAAAAGACGGTGCTCAAAATGCCAAGCCATGTATGCTAAAATGAACTTTGCGGCACCATCGACAAAAATGTGCATGTTGGTGCACCTTTACAGTCAGTAAAGTTATCACCACACTGTTTCCCAGTGAACCGGTAAATGCCACGTGAAATTGTGGCTTAGTTCCAATTTGGGTTCCATATCAAATGTTCACCTATGTTGGGGTCGAAAATAACGGTTTTGATCCAGTTTTCAGTTCGGGACTGGCACTCTGGTTCTCTCGATTTTACTGTTTGAGTGCCGTGACCTCTTTCAAGCTAAATTTGTCCCTTCAAATGTCAGTGCTCCTGTCTTTCTGAATTGGTACTTTCCTCCTTGAGCGATCAGAAAAATAACTAATTTTTTGCGTGTGAAATAGTTTTAAAATGCTCTGCCCAGATGGCATCAGTAAACTCTTGATATTCTGCTGAATACAAAAGGAGATGCTGCAGTAGTATCATCCTTGCCACCTGGCGCCACAAAGAGGCAACAGTCAACCTTGACAAGATTTGAAATAGGAAGGCACAGCAATTCTGTGGATGGCTCTTAATTCAACCAACAGAGCTTGCGATTAAAACGTATGTCGTGCGGTACTGCTGGAAACTCTCACCACTTCGTTTCTCTGCAGGGAGGAGCGGGAAAGTATCAGGAGCACTTCTCTGACAACAAGAGGTTGGTAAGCATTCTCCAACAGGAATTGCAGGTCTGCCAAAAATAGCTTCCTGTCAGACAACATTTCTGCAATTAGAGCTTGGTCCTCGACCTGTTGTTGATCTAGAGAAACAAAATAAAATAATGATAAGCTTGCATAATTAAGAACACAATGAGCATGAACCAAAACCAAAAAAGCAGCTTTGGGGGTGGAGAGATATGGTTAAAATGTTGTGCAACACTGGGGAGCATACAATCAATGAGTCAAAGACGAGATATTGGCCGAGACACTCGCTCCGACACAGTGCAGCTGTTTCACACCTTTTTCTTTTGACCGGCAGACACCACGACTGCTTTATCTGCTCTTGCATACCGACGAGGAAACCTGCCTTGACAGCTTCGTGCTCCAACCACTAGGTGACAATTATTTCGGAGAAGTCAACAATATTTGGCTCAACATTTTACTTCTAAGCAAAATATGCAGGAATAATCCAATACCTCTAAACTTCTTCAAGGACAAATCCAGCTGGGAAGAAATCGATGGATGGTTGGACATATCAGAGTCATGTTCACCTCCATTGTCAAAGCCTGGAATCTAAAAGAAATAAAAAAACTTCAAACATGTTTACCAATAACGTTATTACACAAATCCAGCATTAAATTATCTACATGAAACAACAAACTAAAAGTGATTTGACAAGAAAGCTTGTATATATTACGCATATATTACCCCTGGTATAACTCCAAATGCCCCGATACAACACTAAAGTAGAGCAAGCGGACTTCTCTTAATTGTTTCTTTTGATTTCAAAGACACCTATAGGCTGCTTGGTTTGAAATAAAGGGGCCATGACATGATGTTGAACAGGAATGTTTCTCAGCTTACACAGGCTTACTGGCACCAGTGGGACTCGAGCATAGCACCACGCAACACCACTGAACAAGCTTCTTTGTCGCCGCGTAATTTCGAAGATTAAAGCGGACGTTTCCTTTCCTCTCCTTCTCAAAAATTGATGACGAAGTTGTGGGCATTGAATCGTTCGCATTGTCAACAATGTGATCCTGATATCGTCATCGAGCTTTGAGGTCCCCGCGATGACGATTTTAAATGCAACTCATACAGTGGACACGAACACCGCGTGAGCATTCGACTCGGGCTCGTGGCAATCAATGCCTCTACATGCTTTTCGGATAGTGGATAGTGACCAAATGCTGTGATGGCGGGATTGCCGAAATGAACCTTAACAAAGTGTGGAGCTCAGAGTGCCCTGTGCCTTAACAATGTGTGGAACTCAGTGTGCCCTGTGCCTTTGCCAACCCCAGCGAGTGGCTATGATAAACATTGGAGGCACATAATCGGGTCCACATCATGTGGCTGCTTGTTCTCACTAAAGTGAACGCTGCTCGTGTTTCTCGACTTGCTTCTGCAACTGCCATTGCATGGAGAAGAAAACCAAATGGGTGTTTTGTGGATTACGAATGTCAAAGAACAGCGGTATGCACCGAAAGAAAAATTGTTGCACTGCTCCTTAACAAAAACACAATGAGTGTGGCTGCTCAAAAAAGCCTCGTGGAAAAGTTTTTGCAATTTTGAACTAGAAAAACAGTCCAAAAACCCATACTATGCGACTTTTCGACAGCTATTCAAAAACGCTATGTATGACCTCAACATTTGGAATATACCCTTAGCAAAGAACGTTGAAAAAAATGTTCAGTCCATTTGAAGATTAATTTGGATCACCAAAAATCCTCAACATGCTCAGAACTTGACTTCTGAGTAATGTAAAAAAAAAGCACTAGATTGGAAATTTCTTATTATGCCTGCAAACCTCCTTTCAGAGTTGACCATGAGTTGGCAATGCTTGCCCCAAAAGAACAAGGTTTCTCTGAACAATTACTCCCGCTTTTAGTGACATGTAATCGGATCTGTGGAACTCAATATCTCTTTTGATTGCAAAGATACTTATACGCCTCGTAAGTGGGCTCATTTTCGTCTTCTGCGCATGAGAAGGAAGCAGAACGCCGAGCCCTGATTGGCTGATCGTGACCCCCTATCTCAGCGTCGTCTGCTCCTTTGCAGCGTCGTCTGCTCGCAACGTCGTCTGCGTCTGTCTCACCTTTCCTGCGACTTTCGGAAGCCGAGCGAGCTCGACTTCGCATTTCAGAGAGGGCAGACGAAATAACTCGAGCGGTACGTTGTTTTTGTCTAACAACTAGCAGACGCGCATCAAGGAGGGAAGTCAAAGGACTCACTGGCGAGGTGTCCTACGGCGCCGAGGTTTGTTTGCTTAGAACCGAGAGTGAGCGTGTTAGTGTCCGCAAGTTCCCTCCCAAATACTTTTTCCCTCCTTTCGTGTGCGGCGAGACTCCTCATTCTTTAACGGCGTCGGCGGGTTGACGCAATTAACGTCGTCTGCTTTACGTCTGCTAGTCAAAGCGACGGCTGCTTTACCTTTCCTGCGTCCGTCGGAGATTCACCGCTTTTTGACCGGCGAGAGTCACCGTTGCCTCGGGAAACAAGGAGATAACAAGAGGAAGAAATTGACCTCTTAATCTAAAACTGAGGTCAGCGATCAAAGTATAATACGGAAAGGGTTCACAAAGGTCGCGCGGGCATTTTCCTTTCAGCACGCCAGCCGGTCGTGGGCAGACGGTCGCCGGGTCGCGAAGTGCCTGCTAGGCCTAACTGCCGTGCTCGCTTGGTCGCGTTCGGTGGAATCGTGGCCGTTGAAGCTTTTCCCGGGTGTTTGTGGATCCAGCGTTCTTGTTCATCGCGGTCTGTTTCAAGTATTTTTTACTTTTTTCTTGCTGCTTGAAGTCGGGACGCGTGAGAAGCGCACGTAGAAAAATTAACGTCCGTGGGTCGTCGCGACCGCGACGCTGTCGGCCATGCTGATTTGATCGTAAGAAGTGCGTAAGACAGCTTCGGAGCTGTCGTAGGATTTCGCCGTAACCTGCGCAAAACTTACGAAAATTTCGTTTCGTGAATACGAATTTGTTCTTAAGTTATGTCTTACGCACATTTTTGGCGTAAGCTCGTTTTGTGAACCTGGCCTCTGCACTTCCGAAAGTCGCAGGAAAGGTAAGACAGACGCAGACGACGTAGCGAGCAGACGACGTTGCAAAGGAGCAGACGACGCTCAGATAGGGGGGTCGCGATCAGCCAATCAGGGCTCGGCGTTCTGACGTCACCGCTACCCCCTGCGCAAGAAGCAGACGAACTTGCCCTCCGCATAGGCTACTTGATCTGAATTTAAAGGGGCCAAGCAACAGTAATGATGGGCAGGAATGTTTATCAGTTTATGCAAGCTTAATGGCACCAGTGGGAACCAAGCATGCACGGAGAGCCATCGTATCTAGCTTGGAAATATAGGCCCAGACTTACAATTATTGACTGTCAGTAAAATGTAACATAACCATGACAAACCACTCAAAAAAAAAGCTGCCCGTGAAAAGCTGATCTGCAAAACATTTCTCAGCCTGAGTAAAAATACTCCTCGCCACACTCTTTCTTCAGCCCTCTCCCATTGGTCACATGACACTGGGGACCTCTTTTGTGCAAAGAGTTTGTCTACGTTGAGTGAATCGTGTATCAGAGCCACAGTTTAACAATGGGAGCGCACCAGTACAGAGGCCACTGAGCCTGCCGGCTCTGCATTTTTGGTAACCTGGACGTCCAACCATCATAAACTGGCACAACGCAGGCTCCAACAACAACGAAACCTTATCTACCGTCCAGCTGTCTTCCACCCTTCTGGCCGAAGAGTCCCCCGGTGGTACCAGCTCGCAGGAGCTGACACGCATGCTCGTCTCTGCAATGGCACGCTCCCATTGTTCAGCTGTGGCTCTACAGTATTTTCTCCTCTACTGTCTGTTACTGTCAGAAGAGCAGAACGAAAGGAAATCTCAAGGAGCTTCTAATGAATTGTAGCTTCTAACAAACTTTGGAGCTTCTAATGAATTGTTTTAGCCAGTTTTGTTAGACCAACCTCACACCTAGTCCAACACAATGCTCACCTTGCGTACGGGAGCGTAGCACAGTTGCAACAAAGCGGCCAAAAGGTCCACAAGGTGCCTGTGATAAATTAAGTTCCTCAGGGCGGCATTCTCGGCACACGCCAGCAGAGTCCTCACGGAGACGACGAGGCCTCTGTGTCTCCTCGAGGGGACGGGCGACGCCACGCAGGGGAGCGCATCTTGCTCAGTCCTTTTTCCCAGGGGAACCCCTACTCCAGGCAGGAGGTTGGGATAGATGCCAAGGGCCACCACGAACTGAAGCAGCCCTTGCACCGTCTTCTGCTGCAAGACGCCGAGGGAGCTAGGCGGAAGAGGAGGCACACCTTGCGCCGAAGTGGACGCACACCTCGTGCTTGCTTCGTCCAGGAGGGCCTTGAGCAGAACCAACAGGGAAATGCAATGATCGAGGAAAAGGAGCTGCACGTGGGGGCTCTCGGTCACCGGCTCAAGCAGGTGGGGAGCACGCTTTGCCACTATCTTCTGTAGACATTGATCAGACGAGATCTTCTCGTGGAAGCGTCTCAGCTTATGAAGCAGAAGCAAATCGAAGGGATTACCCAGCTGCTCCGGCCAGTTGGGTACTGAAAAGTGAAACCCGACCCAACTCGGGTTCTATTAGATTGCCGACGAGGCAAATTTTTCGGCTGAACATTTGCGTGCAATTGGATTAGGCCATAAGATGGCTAATATGTAAATTATTGAACGTCCACAAAAAGAAAATCAACTCTGAATGAATACACTTGAAATAGACAAGACAATGACACATTAATTATAGAAGAAGTGAGTGTTTCTGGCATAAATTAGAGCCGTAAAAAAGGCCAAATTAGCAACTTTGTTACACTCTAAAGAGTCCACCAATGAGGCGCCTCTTGAACATCAATGTCTGCAGGCCGTAGAGCGAAGTTTTGCACATACTGCTCTCAACAATATCAGAAAGCCACAATCTGGATACTAGCATGAACCACTTCCACCTAAAGTAAAAACATACTTGTGGATGGGTTTCGTTTCTCAAACGCTGCTAAAGCGCAGCCACCAGTGGAGTAGCCAGGGGTTAGCTTACAGGGCTTCAGCCCCCCCCCCCCCCCCCCCTTCCTTTCCCAAATCCAGCCGACCCTATAGTATACACACGCCGTTTGAACCCCCCTCTGCACCTTAGGTCATCGGCATTCTGGCCACCTCGGCCTGCCCCACTCCCCTCCCTCCCTCCCTCCCTCTCCCTCTCCCTCTCCCCCCCCCCCCCCCCCCGAAAAAATTCCTGGATTTCCATTGACTACTGGTTGCAGCTGAGCTTGCTGAATCATATTCTTGGGTGGTGCCAGCTGAACAGTAATGAACACAGAATATTTACAACCGCTGGACTACCAACTAGATTACAGCCTTTTTCCTTCACTACTCCCAGTATTTACAAAATAGATTTTAACCTTCAAGCATTGGTTATCGATTAAAAAGAAGAATGTGTCAGTGCGCCTTCCTTGGCACTGCAGCACTGCACAAGCGAGAAAAACTGTTTCTGCGGGAGTCCTGAAGGGCTTGAAGCAGCTCCACGTTTGTAAATAAGTATAGAGGAAGAGGAGGAAGGCTTTAATGCAGGTTGTAAGTAAGGAAGAAGAGGGCTTCAATCTGGGTTGTAAATAATGAGTAGTGAAGGAAGAAGGCGGTTGTAAATATTCTGTGTTCATTACTGTTCAGCTGGTTCCACTGACAGCCACCTTTACTATCAGATAGGTGAGGCACCAACCTGGAGGATAACGCCTAGTATTCGACACTAATAAGTCCGATGAAAGTGTGACAAAGCGCCGATGTTCTCGGGTAACTGTGCCGCGTAGCGCAAGAGAAACGTACAGTACAGATTCTACACCCACAGCCACTTTCAGGACTTACGCAGTGCTTCTTTTGAAATCAGGGTCTCCACGCACGATGTCACAGCTTTGATGTCATCGGTCGTCATATTTATAGAACGTGCCCAGTGATCATGTTCGAGAGAATCAACAAAACCCTACAAAACAGACAACAAAATACGAATGAACACTGAAAGCACTAGAAGTACACAACATGCACGCACAGACCACAGGACGACACCGATGACACCGACCGACTCGGTGTGCGCGGCGCGCGTTGTTCCGGTTGTTCCCGCGAGGCGAACGCGCGTATTTTGATCTCTAACATTGCTACACATCACATCATATCTGAAGCATCTAAATTAATTCAGTTTTACTAATTGTTCTGCAATAGGTGATTTTAGGTTAATGAAATTGCGATTATTTACGGTTTCGACCGAAGTTGTCTTAGATACAAATGAATCCAACCCAATCCAAATTTTTTTTTTTTGGCACCTTTTTCATTGGACGATAACGACGATAACGAAGTGAGCGAAGCGCGCGAGCGCGGGCGGTTGATGATTTGCTTCAAATTTTTAGGAGTGCGTTCCAAATCGGTGCGTTCTTTTCGACGTTCCTTGATTGCCTTAGTCTTAGCCTTGTAACATTTTTCGGCAGGTAAGCCCGACACATCGCAAGCCATGGCCATGCCCGGTGATCCGTCCGATTACCCGCTGCTCTACGAGCTGGACTTGGAAGACGAAGGCACGGAGAACTTAATCGAGGAGTTCACGGATATAATTTCGAACGCGGCAATCAGCGAAGTTGAGCAGGCGTTGGTCAATTACGTAGCCTCCAATATCGAGCCTGTCGGTTGGACAGCAATTTGGAAGGCCAAGCGCGGTTCGCACGGACTGCAGTCCAACTGCGACTTTCTCGTTGAGGTACGTGGTTTGAGTGGTCTTTTGTTTTTTTCCCCTGTTCGCGTCTAATGCTTTTTTTACCACCGCCATGTTTCCCAACCTAGGTTACGAACGTAAGTGTAAACGCACTGGAAGCGGACATTCGCATTCTGACAGTCTTGTCTGACCTCCCCGGCGTGAACGTGGCAGAAGTCGTGCCCATTGCACCCCTCCTTGATCTGTACCCATCGTCAGAAGATGACCCAGAGGGGAATTTTTTCGAAACTGCGCTTGTCATCGAGCACGTCAGGTAAGGTCAATCGGTGGCACTGGTCATGTCGGATCGACTTTCTCGGCCTACATTGCACTGAAGGTTTTGCGTCTGTCCGTCTTGCCCAGGTTCTTTTACAACCATATATGGAAGCCATGGGACGATGCTGATGATGAAATTGAAAAGTTCGTGTTCAAGATACGGCCCAGAGTAGAGCTGTACGTTCATTTTGCTTCTTTATCAATTTATGAAATAAATTTGAGTATTACCTGGAGCATAATTCTCTAAGAAAAGACAGCCTGCAAAAATTAGTTTAGTTCGTTAAGACTTCAACGGTCCTGAGCATTGCAGCAGTATGAACAGTTTAGCATGGCCTCGGAGATATCGAAGCGCGCGCGCTTTGGAATCTCGGAGGCCATTTTATGAGCAAGCCTTCAAACATGTGTCGAGCCAGTTCATTGTGTTTGTGGTAACAAAAATGATTAAAAATCTGCACTTTCTGGGGAGTTGTGATTAAAAACTGCAGCAGAAAGTGAGCAGCATATTGGAGTAAGTATGCTGAATTGATGAGGATTAAAAGCAGTGGCTTTGTGTCCCACGACTAGCAATTCGTTTTCTGGAAGTTTTTGCGTTCAAATTCTATTATTGAATAATGGCTCGCTCATCTGCAATTTTAAATTTATGTTTTCCGAGAAAAAGAAAGAAAAAAAAATGACCGCATCTCCATGTGGTGAATGATGTTGATTGGGGCAAAGTTCTGGTGGTGCTGCTGATGACACTGATTTTGTTCATAGGCAGTGCTGAGTTCCGGGTTGCGTTTCGACTTCATTAGTCAATGCATGCAAAGTTTAACGCGATTATATACGCATTTGACTGCAGCGCCCTCTCCTGTATAGACGTTGAGCGGCTACATGCAACGTTTCATCCATGACATCCCCAGCTCTTGAGTTACTACCACATCTCGGAGCCCCCTACCCGTCCCGCAGTCGTGGCCGAGTGGTTAAGGCGATGGACTAGAAATCCGTTGGCGTCTCCCCGCACAGGTTTGAATCCTGTCGACTGCGCAAACATTTTTTCCTTTTTTAAGAAGACAGATGGGATGGCAATCGATGTGAGCACAGACGCCGGACAAGGCTAGACCCTAAGGAACTTCACCCCTAAAAAGAAGCCTATTTGTTTGTTTTTTTCAGCTACATGGACATTGCTGCTGGGCAGGTGGATGATAGCACGAAGATCAAAGTTCAGAGGTTTCTTCAGGAAGGTCAACAGATTCGCAGGGCGCTGGAAACACTGAAGGTGTCAACGGGGCTGAACAGCGGCGACCCCGACCTTGAACTGGACCCTGCCGACGTGAAGCAGATGGTGGAGTTCACCGAGCGCTTAGAGGCTCTCTCTCGGGCAATGGACATCATAGAGAACCGTCAACTGAGGTAAGGGAACTTTATGTTTAAGGCTGCAAGTATTCTGAATTTGGAAAGCATTCCCCTGCTTTCGATGTTAGGCCATGTTGGTGTAACATCCTTGGATTTTTTCAATAGTGAGGAGAATACCAGGAAAGCATCTCTGTTTTTTCTACGTTCTTCAGAAGAAAGCAAAAGGTGTAGAGGTGGACAGTAGTTTTAAGCCTGCCAGTCAGTGGTTCTGCTAAACTAATCAACATGAATTCCTTTCCATGTTTACACAGGGACACAACCTCTTCCATCATCTTCCCAAGATAGGGTCGCATCATGGCTGACGTGTATCACTGTTTGGTGACAGGGTGGGCTGACTCTCTGGTGTTTTTACTCTTTGGCAGGCTCTGCATGGTGCAGGAGCAGTTTGTCCATCACCCCCAGCCCGCGAGAAGGCCTGGCATTCTTGTTATGCACGTTGTGGCTGCCGAGTTCTTCTCCTTTGCTCACTTGAAGGTGATTTTACTTTTGTACAGCATTGCTCAATGCATCTCTAGGCTCACCTTCATTTCTCTTCTCGTGCAGTCTTTGGGAGTTGCTGACGACATTGCTCTTGAATTCCACTATTCTCTTGGACATGCCATATCAGCATCTCAGGAGCGAGACCAGATCTTGTTGCTTCCAGGCATCCACACGTGCGCCGGCCTGCCCTGGATCGACAAGGATATCACTGTGGAAGGCAAGGCATTTTGTCATCTTCAATACACCTCTGCTGATTCAGTGATGTGGAACACTACATAACAAACATATTGCATGCATGGAGATAGCAGAGTATCTGCCCAAGGTCTTATAAAAAGGAGTTGGTTATGATTAGGTTTTGGCATTAATACATTTAACCCATCTAATTGCTATTCTTTAATCGATTAAGGAATTGGTTGAGGTGGTCCCGAGATGGTATCTGAAAAGGGGCAAAAAGAAATGGCACATTTTGCTTGCAAGTATTTTTTCATAAATTGCACGTTACTTGATTCTTGAAGTTGTACCAGTCATAAAAATAAAGCAAGCAAAAAATTAATTTTTACATTAATACTTTAACCACACAATAACTCTGAATGACTTACATGAAATGCTCAAGTGGTTTTCCGTGGGAGACAACAGCGCTGCCTGCCAAAATAGATAAATGCTCAAGAATAATAAAGCGAGTATTTTTACTTTCTCTTTGTTCACCTCACTCTTCTCAGATCAGGAGCCAACCGATTAAATGCTTAAAATGATTGATAGCAATTAGAGCATTATTACTTTTATTTTGTTTATTTCACCTAAACGGGACGCTGAAATGATTTTCGAGATCCTTTTTTTATGACACAAACTCAGTCTATGCACCCTTAGTATCATAGACATCCCCAAATTATAATGGCCCTTTTGCCTATTAAAAATGCAACACGCCTCTTTTTTCTGAGATGTATTTCGGAAAAGGGGGAGATTGATGACAGATTTTATGGAGGCATATTGATCAATCTAAAGAATAATTGATTAACTGTTTGGCTCTAAATTATTACCTATTTTTGCTCTAGAAACCCCGAGGTTGATGTTATCTTTATGCTGTAGGTGCTGGTGACCGTGAGAATACTGTGCTGACCCCCACAGACGTCGGAGATGTCTTCATCAACTGTAGCACTTCTCGTTTGAAACTCAGAAACATCACTGTTAAAGTAACGAGGCCCATGCAATGCGTCCTCATGGTGCACAGTGGCGTGGTGATGATGGAAAACTGCCACATTGATGGCGGTTCTGCCACGGTTCCCATCACAGTTCTGAACAATGCAGAGCTCCACATGACTGACTGCGAGGTTGAGACTGCCCAAGTAAGCTTATTCTTTTCTCCATCAGGGAAGCTTCCTCAGTACCATTCATACATTTGCATGGTTTACCTGTCAAATGGACCCTGATTGTTGAGCAATATATTCCTGGTACATCATGACACCTCATTGACTTGCTTCCACTTAGGGGAATGACATTGATGTGCGACCTGGTGGAGTCCTGAAAGTGTTGCCGTTCGACGGGACCGTCGGCAACGAGAACACCATGCCTCAATTGGAAAGACCTGGTGCCGAAAACAAAGGAAAAAATCAAGAACCACCTGTTGCTGCGAGAAATATGCCTCTTGATGCTAATGCAAACATTGTGGATGGGTAAAAAGCTGAACTTAATCATTTTCTTTTTACAATGGACCAAGCAAAGTGTACTTTTCTCCTTTTTTTTTGTGTGTGTGTGTGTGAATTAATAAAGTACCCTTTCTTTGACAAGGATGATTGTATTTCAAAGCTAGGCAATGATGTTCCAGAGTTTCGCTTGATTTTGTTTTCATGTATTTTAATTTTTTTAATCATGCTTCTTTTTACTTTATCCCCTCATGCAATGAATTCTACTGATGACCATGAGGTAAATAAAATGTTGTAGAAGGAACATTTGAGTTTATTCGTGTGGGATCAGGCCGAATCAAAATGCTATGCTTGTAAGAAAATGGCGGGAGGCACTCACTTGATCGAATGACGTTTTAGCGAACGCCCACGTTTCATCGAACGACACTTTAGCGAATAGCCGGACGCCGCGAAGCGGCGTTTTCGGGTGGGCCAAGTGAGTTTATATTTTTGTAATGAGTTGCCGCAGACTGTCGCCGCGAAGCGGCGTAAAGCGCAGCGCGACGAATGGGTTAACGCGCGCCCCCGTTATTCGCTAAAACGACCATTCGCTCAAATGTCGCCGTTCGCTAAAATGTCATTCGCTCTTGTGATATGGACCCGAAAATGGCTTGTGGTATGCATATGCTTGTGTCGTGGATTGTAAGGACATTATGAAAGACTGTTAAAACGTACTTGTACAGTGTACTTTACTTCGAAAGTACATTGCATTTATAGTGCTTTACTTTAAGTACATTGTGCCCTGTGTACTGACTACTTTACCTGAAGTACATAACCTCTCACTTACTTTGTGCTTTAAGAACTATTTAGGTGTACTTTACCCAATACTCGTGCTAAGAGAGCGCATTCATCTTCACCAATACGTAATTGAATTTTCCCGCCACGTAGTGCTGGTTACGTCGCTATGTCCTGGTGAGAACGAGACTTAGACGAACCGTGTAGCCAGCATCAGAGTTCAAAACTAGAGTAGTGTACCGTTCAGAAAATGTGAGAAATGAAAGCAGACAATTATAACCGCAACTTCGAAATCAAAATCGGAGTGTTGGTGGTGCCCGTGGTGCCGCGAGATGTAGCCGAATCACAGGATTAGTGGGATTAGTTTAGCCAAGCCAGTTCAATCCAACCCGAGTATACACGGGAAGGAGGTAGTTTGGTGCGATCGTTACGTGTCTCCGAAGAAATCGCGCTCTCTTCGCCTGTTCAAATTGTGTTCGCAAGTGCCCGAGTCTCTTGGGGCCCATATCTCAACCCGCTGAACGTAAGAACCTTTCCAAAAATGGGCGACCGCGCAATTATTATGCAGTATGCACGAATCGCGGGCGTCGTGATGGCCTACTGGGTGATCTCAATTTCTCTCGTTTTCATCAATAACACACTGCTCTCGGACAAGGACCGAAAACTGGACGCTCCCCTGTTCATCACATTCTTTCAGTGCGTGGTTTCTTCGGCCCTCTGCGTCATCCTGAGTTTTTTGAGTGAAAAAATGCCGGGCGTCTTTCATTTCCCCAGGGTGGATCTGAATGTGTCGGTACTCAGGGCGCTGCTCCCGCTTTCGGCGTTCTTCGTTGCCATGGTCGCCTTCAACAATCTTTGTTTGAAATATGTCGGAGTCGCGTTTTACACCGTGAGCCGATCCTTGACTACGGTGTTTAATGTCATCTTTACGTACTTGGTGCTGCACCAGTCGACCTCCATGGCTGCCATAGCCTGCTGTGGCATCATTGTATCCGGTTTTCTTCTAGGAGTCAACCAGGAGGGCCTTATGGGGTCGCTCTCGATCTTTGGAGTGACCTGCGGCGTTCTTGCCAGTGCCACGCTTTCCATGTACAGTATTTACACCAAGAAAATGCTGCCCCTCGTCGGGGACAGCGCATCCTTGCTCACCTACTATAACAACATCAACGCCGTGCTGCTCTTCTTTCCCCTCATGATTGTGTTTGGCGAGCTTCCGACCGTCTTCCGCTTTCCTTTCCTCGCTGACCCCACATTCTGGGTCCTCATGCTCGTGAGCGGCGTCTTTGGGTTCCTGATTGCTTACGTGACGATGCTTCAGATACAGGTCACCTCTCCCCTCACCCACAACGTTAGTGGCACGGCGAAGGCCTGTACACAAACTGTGCTTGCTGTGGTGTGGTTCTCAGAAGCGAAGAGCGTCCTCTGGTGGGTGAGCAACGGTCTGGTTTTGCTTGGATCGGCAGCCTACACGCGGGTACGTCAGCTGGAGATGCTCAAGCTCCACCTGGACACTGCCAAGAATGAGGACGCCACTGAAAAGGGAATTGTGCTTAAAGTGTGAACTTGAGGTGCATGAAATGCATGAGGTGGGGGAGGGGACTGCCAGAGACTCTCCAACCCTTTCACCAATTCAGTCCCAGCTGCAAGATCAGGCTTCTTATAGTGCTACTCTTGTCACCAGTGGCGTTAAAAACTGTACCCCATAGTTTTTTTGTTTTTTTTTTCAGTTTTGTGTTCATTTGTTTACTGGCTTCCCGTACAATTCCTGGCTTATGGTACTGAGAGGAGGGCTGTTTCTCGTTTTACCCGGTTAATCCAGGAAACTTTCCCCGTTGCATCTTTGCAGCCTGTCTGGTCATTTTTAACTAGGCACGCTGGCAACTGCACCTGTAGCATTTGTTGAGTGGCACACAATGATGCACTGTACCTGTTTTCATTTTAGTGCAACGTGTATGGGTGGAGAACAGAAATGCACCATTCGGTGTTATTGTCACTCCTAAAGACAGAATCAATCTGGTTGACGTGGCGAAATTTGTCGTGCAAATGGGACTAATCTTGCAGTTTTCATTTCTGCAGTGTTGGGGTGACAATAGTGCAAGGTGGAGTAGAAGCATTCAGAGAAAACTGTTGCAGTAACTTTTGCGGATTTGATACCTTGCAAAACCAAGGAGATTTCGAAACATCAACTACAAAGCCGAGATTGCACATCCCTTCCAAATAGCAAAATTGGTTAGGTTTGGCAGGTACTGATGGTACTGGTTTCTTGTTAGTTTGTATTTTTAGGCTATGCATTAGTTACGATGGTCCTGATATTTTGTCATATGCCTACTTCTGAAACACTTGCATGCCTTATGCTTTAACTGCAATCATTGAGCATGTGCATAAGCAAGCAAATTAAGTTGATCAGCAAAGTCATTACTGGATTAAGCTACTACAAGGGCTTCATTAAACAGCTAATTCTGACCTGAAAAACAGCTAATATTTTTTTTTACTTATTTAAGAAATTATTTTAAATATATCTGACCTCAATTGACATGTATAAATGTGTGATATTGAACTTTTCTAAAACATTTGCTGAGATAAATTCTGCTTGTTCAGAGCAAGCTTCCAGAAAATGCATGCAGAAGAGTGCTTCCTCATATTTAACTTCCCAATTCAGACTACCATCAAAGCAAGCAAATGGAAAATGCATAGTTTTCAGGTTGGAATTTTTAGAGATTTCCTCTTGACACTGTTTGCACAACGGTGTCATATTTTCAGTTTTATGAGGGCTTGGATTAAATAAGGTTTATATGCAGCTGAATGAACAATGTATGCACACATTTTTTTTTTCTGCCCCATATTGAGTCTGCTTTTGTACATACATGCACCAGTTTGCTTTTATCAATGAATTCTGCAAGAATATGCTAATAGCAGTTTAGGTAAAGCACAACTGCAACACATGTTTAATCAGGGTGCACCTTCTTCATTGTATTCCAATTTTCAATTTGCTAATCAGTGTTTAAACAAGTGCCATGAAATAGTGCAAAGATTGTTTTGAAGTTGTGTTCATATTTCACAGCAATGTGTTTTACAGTAATGGCTGATTGCCTCTGGGTTTAGTCAGGGTTCAGTCATGGAACTATAAAATATGACATCCTGCACCTCGTGTTGCTGGAAATGTGATCTCGTGAGGGTGATTAATAATTGTTGCTATCAATGTTTGCTATTGAATCTGCTGCTTTTCTGCTTCAAAAATTCAACTCATGTTTCTTGTGTCATGCCAGGGCAGTGGCACTGACTGTACAGGGTGCTCATAAGTGCTATTCAGTAAAAGAAAATATATTATAAATGGGTAAATTAATTGAGTGCTATGCAACTTAACTGTGACTTATACTCAAATGTTGTGAGTAGGTTTCTAGAAAAAAGGGGGAGGGGGGAATGGTGCTTTTCCTATAGAAAAGCGGAAACAAACCGTCTCATTGACGCTGCTACTCACAGGCGGCACCAAATGGAACACAAACTTGAAAGCTTTTTGAGATAATAATGTCCCTTGATGGTAAAAAGAAAAGAAAAAGAAAGATGATTGTGTGTCAATTTTGTTTTTTTATTTGGTGAGGTTTTTTTTTGGTAAACAATAGGCAAGCATCAACCAGACGGCTTGTTACCATTTTTTTTTTTAACTTAGGTTTTTTTTTGTCTTGTATATTTTCCCCAGAGACCTACACACACAATTTAAGTATGATGACCTAAAGACATATTTGTAAAATCGAACGTTGGTTGGTTTCTGCAGAGGTCTGGCATTTTGAAATGTGGCACTGCTGTATGAATTGTAGGATGTCACGTTCTGGAACATTCAGGGATTCGGCAAAGCTCAGAAATCTCCCGCACAACGTGCCAAGCTGCAGTCTTTATTGCAAGCACATTTTATCAGCCCAGACAGCTTGCTAAACTTTATAAGGTCACTTGAAATGAGTGAGGCTAAGACAGGCTGTCAATCGCCACCGAGAAAAAACAAAAAGCCGGAGCTCTTTTCGATGTTGCAGGTCACGGTACCAAGAGACCTTCCAGGGTGGTAATCAGCGATCTACCTCATGCAGGGCACTACACACCCATAATTGGATCTCTTGTCTAAATAGCGCCGCCTTGGCCCAGAATCCTAGAGATGAAAGCAACTGTTCTCCCTTCATTTCGTATTGGATCAAAAATGCAACTCGGCCCGTTGCCAGAGCGGTTTTCACGACTCGTCAAAACCATGAATGTTTCTAAGCATCGCATCCTAATAAAAAAAGAAGGATGAAGTAGAGCAATAATTCAAGTTTGTCTGAAGTGGACTCGTTACTTTTGGTCACGCTGAGAAATGTAAAACGAATCGTAACTCTCGGCCCAATAGAGTAAGCAGACGGCGTTATGAATTGTGCTTAATGCTTATTTGCCCCTCTTGTCTAACCCCAAATCTTTGTAAGTGCAGACTCTTGTTTCTTGCTGTTTTCCCAGCAACAAAGCGGTGACGCGATACGGGTGTCAGGTGCTCATAAAACTGTATCAACCTGTTCAATTCGAAAATGCTCACCCATTGTTTAATGTCGTACAATTTGGTGTGACTTCGCATGCATGCTGCGCCGCACACGATGCGGTGCTGTCAAATCAATGTGAAAAATTGGCACCTGGCAATTTGACGAACTGACTTTTTCTTCCCGGAAGTGAATAATAGGGATAGATGTTTCGGGGTGAATACTTCAAAGCGCGACTTTGCCTGAAAAAGTAGAATGAAGGCGTTCCATTTTCAAAACGAGAAGCTTGTTCATCTGAGCCACTTTCGCTATGTGCCGATTTTTAGGTATTAACAGACACATACCATTGAAAAGTTCCAAGGGTTCTATTGTTTAGAACTTCCTCGCAAGAACGGCTTTTTCTGTGTTTCTAAAAAAAAACAAAAAACATCTAGGTATGCAAAATGCCTTAGTCAGCTCCCTAGAAATTTTTTTCACAATTGCATTCTTTTTGTTTCATTTTTGCCAAAACAGATATGGCACAGGTGCTAATTCTGTTTATCTTGGAGGCCGTCGCACGCTGCATTTTGTTCCTTTCTTTAATGCAAGTCTATTGTCGACATTGTCTGCATGCAGATGACGGCTTTGTCTTGGTTTTCTATGGCGACGGCACTTCCGCTATACATTGTTTCCCACGGCGAGGCTGTTCCGCTCTTTCGATGGTGCTGCCGTTTATGGACCAGCGATGCCATCTCTCTAGTCTGTCGAAAAGCATGAGTGGCGCTCGTGCGCCGATGGATGTTTGAAGAATCTGTATGAAGAACTAACTGTCTTTTGTTCATGAACCATTTGTTTGGAGCACATGACACGACATAAAGGTTTAAAGCCAGCTGCTTGTTGTCCGGTTTCTCTTTTACTTTGCCTGATTTGCCGCTCATGGCGTAGAATTGTGCTCTGCACTACGGATCCCGAAATACCAGTATGCAGGCATTGTGTTTATGAACAAATGCTTGATATACTTATTGCGTAAGACAGTACGCCTGTACTCTGCCTAGCGATGTGCACCATTCGCCACCGCACAATTCATTTGAAACTATTTTCGGCCCCTCGGTGGCTTCGAGGCGAAGTGCCGGCCCACGGATTCCTCTTTAACGAGTTCGAATCCCGGCCAAGTTGAGTTTGGAGGGAGGCTTATTGTGAAGTAACTGAGATCTCGGTAGGACGTTGAAAGTTCGGCGCCCTTCGTTGATGTTTTACGTAATCCCCCAAATCGCATTTCACTTGAGTGTTCCTTTAGAAATAAATATTAAGCATACAAACGAGAAAGAAAAAAAAGGTGAGCATACAGAACGTTATTGCCTTGCAGATACGTTCCTACCAGTGGCGTAGCCAGTAATTTATTTCGGGGAAAGGAAAGGGGGGGGGGGGTTGCTGAGGTGGCTGGGATGTCCACGACTTGGGATGTGGAGGGGGGGTCAAAATGCATGTGTAAATTATGGGGCTGGCCCCAAAGCCCCCCCTGTGGCTACGCCCCTGGTTCCTACTTTTAGTTTGTATGCCTTAGCTTTCAGTCTATTTTGTATACTCGCTGAAAATGAGTGAAAAGCATAGTTTAATTATGTATGATTTCCATACTTTTGACTGTCTGAAGCGTGCTAACGACCATCCAACAAGCTAAGACCATAGTCTTGAAGAGGGTCAATTGTTGCGGTGGTTTTCAAGCGTTCTCCAGTATCGGAGTTGGTGCGACTGTAGAGTCCTTGAAGATCTATGAAGCAGGAAACATGTCTGAATGTTCACATGTTCATGGTAAGTGGGCAGTAGCAGTGCGAACTTACTCGTACCAAAGGGAAAATTATAAAAGCGCATCTATAGTGGCCACCCTGCACACAAGCACGGAAAACCGCCCACATCCCAAGAACAAAAACAATAAGAAAGTATGGCGGAACAGGTAGTTTTTTTTTTTTTTAACTTTATTTTATGCATTTTTTAATGACATACATTTGTAGACAACATTCATATCGTCCAGTGACTATAGCTTCATCAAAATCTGATGAACTGCACCACTCGATTCATATTTGTCATGGCTCAGGTGCACTATTTTGTATTGATTTTTCGTTCCTCATGATCACACTTCAAATAAATTTTCACAACACTTAAGCACAACAGTGAGATTCATCTTTATGCGACACAATGGGCTAAATTGTGGAGCAATACAGTAGACTCTCTTAATTCAAACTTATGGATAATTCAAACTAACATGCAGGTCCCGTCCTATGCGTCTCTATGGGAGGAAACTCCCGGTAATTCCAACTTTGTTTTATTCAAACAAATTTTCATTCCCCCTCGAGTTTGAATTGGAGAGATTTGACTGTACCAGCGAGCGTTGCTTTTTGCAAAAATGATAACCAGCGTTTGAGGTAGAGGCAAAAAGAATGCACGTAAACTTGTGAAACAGAGCGCCGGGTTCACCATAAAAGGGAGTTTGATCGCAGCAAATAAACACTCTGAACATCTTGGGAATAAACAGTGACAAAGAAACTTGGACAAGAGTAAAGGAGCAAACACGACAGGACGGCGCTGTTCACCTCAAACCAACTAGCCCAACATGTCACATTGAAACACTCTGAAGTTTCTCATTCTAGTGGCCTGTGTGACCTAAACTTTAATATTTGCCAGGATGGCCAAACAAAGTGCTCACCCGTGATTAGACCGCTATATGGGGATGTACTAGTGGCGTGCAATAAAATTAATTGAAAAGATGAACGTGGGAAGGGCATAACAAAACAACTAAGCTTTTTTTCATTTGGGGGGACTGAGCAGCCTTGTTTTGGGGATATTTACACAAGGTGGTCCTTTCGGAACCGGTGTAGGCATGAAATACATATTCTTAAGTTACGCTTATTAAGCTAAAGGAGATTCAAGTGATTAATTTCAAGGACTCCCCTTCTGTACTTGCCAGTATCTTCGAACAAATGTTGATCGTAAACATGCATAGCTGCGCTTTCGTTGGGAGAAATTGAGACTGCCAGCTTAAGAAAAAACAGTGGAGCAAACGCGGAAACATTATCAGCCAGAGGAAACGGTACGAAAAGACAAGAGGGTGTGACAACTTTCTCGGGAGATGGAATGTATGGAACTCGACAGCTTATCAGGTATTTGCAAACACAACCATAACTGCTTCTTAGACACCTTCAATCCATCTGGCAAGCCACGTGGACGTGCACACACAAGCATTTTCTTTCGTTTTGTGAGCGAAGGTCCGAAGGGCGGTAATGGCATTTAATCTCCAGATCGTCGGTCTCTTCCGCGCAGATTGGTCAGAAGGAGGACAGTGAGTTGACTACCGGGTGAGTACCAATCACATGGTAGGCTACGCTCCCCCCAACAATGTTCTGGCCCTTCAAATTGCACTTTTGGTTTCGTATATTAGACGCACACGTGCGACTGCACAGTTGGACGGGTGCTGCTGTTGCACCATACGCTCTCTTTCCTTGAACTGGGACAGATGAGCAAAATAGACGATCATGACGTGCCGAACAACCGAACGAGGAGGAAAGTTCCGACGAGTAGGAAGGCGGAGCTGACTGCTGTGCCGGCAGCTCCGCACTGCCGATAATCGTACCGCTCGCAATCTTTGCCTTGGGACTTTTGACGGAAGTGCGTCAGCATTTTGTGGCTGCTGTCGTCGATGCACTGCTCCTTCTGCGAGAGCTCGTGGACACAGCGGGTGGCCCTGAGGTATGCGCTGCAGGTTAAGAGAACAAGCGGAGGAAAGCAACAGATTACGTCCAGGGCAAGCGGAGCAAGACAAAGGCATGTCGCCGACTAAACCCCAAGACAAGGAAAATAAAACGATGGACAACACCACACGTGTTTGTCAGTTTTATTCTCCCTGTCTCGGAGTTTAGTTTATAATGTTTTTTCACTATATGCTCATCTTGTATGAAAACAGTGCAGTGGAGATTGCCCTGGCAGGTCGCACCATTTGGTGTGCAACTTCCGCAACGATGGGAAGTTCGGTTCGTCATTTGCGCTGTTAAAGATGCTGTACTTGACCTTTTTTTTTTGTTTTTACAGTCTGCGATTAAAATTACTGTGTCATCCTAACATGTAAAAAAATTCGGCAGACACACTTAAGACTGCTTATGTGTGGGAATGCGAAAGCATTAAGTCCCTTTGGTGCAATTTTTTTATACAGTCGTGACGTGGTGCCACCTCCTCGTCGCCATTGGCTGCGCCGTCACGCGCCCAATGATGCACGCACTAGGCCACACCAACAATATTAATTAGCTCCGTTACGAAACTGCTGATAGACTCTGTCTGCACGAGCAGTCCCCCCCCCTTCACTCGCCACGACTCGCCTCTTGTCGTTCGATGCGCCGAACGGCTGCAATGGCAGCTGCAGTGTATTCTATGGAATATGTATGTTTCAAAGCACAGCGTCTAGATGGCGCTCCACCATACTCAATGGAACACAGTTATGAAACGAAAATCTAGATGGCGCTTCAAACGACGGGAAACGGACTGAAGTGAGTGAGTGGAGGTAACCCCTTCCACGGGAGTTCCACAACTGAGTTAGCCTAGTAACGTTGGGCCACACCTTTAGTCAGCTGCTGCAACGTGACGTGTGCAACGACACACACACTAGGCACTCGGCACACCTTTAGTTAGCCAGAACCGTGGAGCCGCTGTGGTGTCGGGGAAGCGTGCTCGTCTCGCACCCCGAAGGCTTGGGTTCGATTCCCACCCAGACCGAAACGTACCAAATTTTCTTGTCAAAGCCATTAATTTACTTTGTTTACAGGGACCTCCCTGAGAAATTTGTTGTCAATTCGAGCATTTTTTACGCATTCTTACTCTTTGTGCTGTAGGCCATTTTCGGTACCATCACTCAATCACACCGACGCCGGATTTTCGCGTAATGGGGAATACAATGCTTTCGCATTAAAACGGCGAAGCCAACAAGCGCGAGGTCCTTGCTTTCTAGACATGTGGGGCCACGTGGTAACAATGATGTTTGGAGATAAAATGCTACATTTTTTCACCTATTTTATCTATTTCCTGGGCTCCAGCAATCACTCATATGATGCTGTGTTGCAGTGATTGATTTGTTTTGTTGTAGCACTCAGTCAAAACTGTCAAAACTGCATTTTTGAACTAAAGCCCCAGCTGCACGCCATAAGGTGTGGTCGGAGGAAGAAATTAGTAAGGTGGTGGGCACATTTTTGCCTTTATTTATTCGAGATACCAAAATATTGTTGCGACTCTGCTGTCTTTGTGGCACTTGATATTGGTGTTTTGTGAAGACTTCCAGAGTGTTTTTCGCAGATTTCCCGAGTTGCATTTGTTGTTTGATTGATGTTGACTATTAATTTGTTAAACAATTCAAAGTGCTTTACTGAGTCTAATTTGAAGCTAAGACATTCTGACATTACAGTATGCATATTTATCTAAGTGGTGCGTAAAATATGTAGTTCAAGTCAGGCACGTAGCCGAAGGGGGGGGCCATGGGGCCCGGGCTTCCCCCGAAATCTCCCATTCTGCTGGGACCTCCTCTCCCCCCTCCCCCTCATACAGCATTTTGTCATGGGCGAGCCCCCCCCCCCCCCCCCCCCCCCCCCCGAAACAAAATCCTGGCTACGTGCCTGATTCCAAGTACTGCCATACATCTAAAAAGCACTCCTGTTAAAAAAAAAGGAAAAAAAAGTGAAAGCCGTTTACAACTCCCTGTAACGCCGAATTAGAGCGCAGCTCTTGAGGAGGAGGAGGGAAGGGTACTGGGGGGGTGGGGTCAACTGACCGGAGGGGGGGTCACGTGACCTTGGGGTTCACGTGACCTTGGGGGGTCACGTGACCTTGGGTTGTCACGTGACCTTGGGGGTCACGTTACCTTGGGTTGTCACGTGACCTGGGGGTCACGTGACGATGACAATGCCGATGATGTCATCAGTGACGTTACTGATGACGTCATCAGTGACGATGACGATGCGGATACCGATGACGTCATTAGTGACGTCACTGATGACGTCACCAGTGATGATGACGATGCGGATGTCGGTGACGTCATCAGTGATGATGACGATGCGGATGCCGGCGACGTCATCAGTGACAATGACGTCATCGGGGGGTCACGTGACCTCGGCGGGGGGTCACGTGACTTCGGGGGTCACGTGACCTCGGGGGGGGCACGTGACTCCCCTCCCCTGCGGTCACGCGACCCCCTCCCCGAGGTCACGTTACCCCCAAGGTCACGTGACCCCCGATGACGTCATCGTCACTGATGACGTCACCGGCATCCGCATCGTCAATGATGTCGTCACCGGCATCTGCATCGTCATCATCACTAATGACGTCATCAGTGACGTCACTGATGA